TGTAGTTTATAACTTGTTGACATACTGTTGATTAGTAACAATAATATGACAATATGACGTCTCTGACGTCGCAAGGTGCAATTTCTTCACGGAATAAAATTTGATACCATCCACGTTGTAAAGATTATCTTGATAAAACTCCATCGATAAAAATCCAACTTTCATTTTCCTACTTTTCACATTCGAGAAACTTAAATTTTGAATCGCATTCAATAAATTGAATTCAATATATTGAATGAATTCAATAAATCGCATAAATTAAATTGAATCGCATTCAATCCTAATTTTCCGAGATCGTCAGTTATTTTTGAATAACATGACAATGAATTTTCAGAGACCATAATTCTAGCATCATGATATAAAACTTTCATTTTTAAAATTCACTTCTATTAATTTCTATATCGGATACAAATTTATAAATCCCGATATATCGCTAAAACATGAAACTAATTTTTTGTAGATGGATAAAAACTTCCTCTGGGCTTTTTCCTAATCTCGAATATGTTGTAAAAATTGATAATTTTAAACATATACATTATCATCACGCTAGCAATAGTATCAATACCAAACGAAGATCATCATTGATGCTAAGCATTAAAATCCAATGCTTCACACGAGGGGGACGAGAATAAAATCATGAAGATTCTCATCCTTGACTTTAATTTAGTATATTATCAAATATTGTCATCTAGAAAATCATCATGATGGTACTAATAATTGTCTATCATTTGATGCATCAATAAATGATATCGATTTCCCAAGTTTAGGGTTGACAAATTTATATAAGGAAGGTTGGGCTGGTAGAGGATAAACTTTTCCCTACATATTATGAAAAATGTAATAATATTCCACATGTGTCCAGCAACTTATTAAAATAATTTTCATATCTTTTTAAAAATAATTGTTTTTATTTTTTACCAGTTGCACCATTTTCATTTGATTTATGAAACTTGCTGTTCATCCAGAAATCCACTTCTTAATTTTCATTATGATATTTCGGTAATATTTATTATGGTGCAATCCATACTTTAATATCGTCTTTGCTTTTATTGAATACGAACTTATTGCGTCTGCAATTTATGCAGAATTTTATTTTTTTCTCCACGGGAAATTTGAAAGAGTTTTTCCGTTGTTATTTGTGTTCCAAACATTTTTATATAAATGTCTGGATTTTTCATCTGTGACATATAATAAAGTCGACTAATAATATATGTCGTTCGAAATGATGTTGAGATGAAAGAGATTTAGTAAACAGAAAATCTAAATTTCTCTCGTCTCGAGTCTTCGATCAAACTTGATCCTGCAAAATGACGCCAAGCTCAACAAAGGAGAAATTTTTTTCGCACCGACACGAGAACTTAGAAAGAATGTTAATTAATCTAAGTTCTATTGACATTGCGTGAAGCTTCTAACGTACGGGAAATGAAACGAAACCAATTTGTGAAGTTTAAAGTTATTTTTGGAAAATAATTTCACATCGTAAAAATTTTGGCAAATAAATTATAAAATGTTCTTCAATTTTGATTCGTTAAATTAATTAATGCTATTCGTTTCATAATTTTATTTTTGCAGACCTGAGTTTAACGTTGTAAAGGAAAGAACTGCAATAAATAGATCTGAAACTGGGATATTATTAAATTTTTGGATAAATTTTCGAGCCAATCTAGACGTGACCATGCGTAGACATTCTTTTATGTGTCAATTTATGCTTAGTAAACCATTTTCAATTTTAAGCGAAATTGGAGAGCCTAATAATGAATTTGATTGATTTATCTCCAGTTGAAGGAATACGAGATTATCAAATTATCTTATTTTTTGAGATTATGCGCTGACTAATTATTTTATCTTTGTGTAGTCGAGATGTAAATAATAACAACATTTTCTTATATTAATATTGTGAGACGCTTGAACCAAGATATTATTAACAAAAGTTTGTTGCTTTTATGGCAACCTGATGTATGCAACGGAGGACTAGAAATGCTCCAACCTACAACTAAAGAAAATAGATTTTTTCAGCTAATCAATTGCCAAGGAAAGTAAAAATAACTTGTGACTATAATATTTATTTAGTGACCGAAAAGAAAACACGGTACAAGAAAACTTTTAAAATACAAATTTTAAACATAATAAAAAGCTAATCACAGCTGGATTATTGGCTGTAAAAAATGCTGTTACTACCCCAAATGTAAATAAATACTGATAATTGAAAAGATTCTACTCCATGAAATATATGGTATTACATATAACACAATTTCTGGCAATGTTCATGCTTACCGAATGATTGAAAATAAAATTTAAATATAAATTTAGAAATATTAATAAATAAATAAGTGACTCATGATTGATGCCAAATATTCTATATTATCTTTATTGAATGAAAAGAAGAAGGTCTCACATTATGAAATCTTCAATTCATATTATGATTACAAATGTGAATAAAAGACCTAAATATTAACAAGTGACGCTGCTAAACCAGAATTCGCATTTTACTGTAACTTTACGTTGTTTTTAAAGTAATTCACTATCTTCGTTAACTAATTCATTCCAATAAGAAGACAACAGCAATTCTAAAATATTCTAACTAAAGATAAAAATAAATAGTTTCTAACCAGCAAACTTTTAACGAGGATGACGCTTTGCAATTAACTACTAGATATCTAGAATAGCGCAGTTGAGCATTGAATTGAACTTTTATTTGCATTTTTTATCTGAATGGTCAATACAGAATATCTCGTGCATTCAAATGATTTGTCAGTTGAAATGCAAATGAATTAAAAACTTTTCTATGTTAACAATAACAATGAAGAAAGGACTTAGCAAAGCGTCACTTAATCTCACAATCTAACATAATATTTTTATTTGAAAGTTATTTCGACTCGCACACGACACTCGATTAATTAGAAATATTTGCTATTATATTCACAAGTATATACGAAAAAAAGTTGAATTCCTTTTCAAATATTACATATAACAGCCAAACAATTAAAATGAATCCTTAGGACATCCATGACACGCATGAGGAACATTACTGAACTTTAATACGGTCGAAAGTTTGCGTTGAAAACGCCGGTGCAAAAAACTACATAAGCAGCCTACGTATGGCTATAGAATATTCTATGCAGGTATATATTTAGAAGCCAAACTATCTATTCAGTTACATTCAGCATGCTATGCATCGGTAACAATTACTTTCCTCGAAATGTTATACGCAGAAATATAAAATCAATAAAACAACATATTGGATATAATAACTTATAGATGTGCATAATACAAAGATGTGAATAACTCGTGACTTCTAGGACAAACATTTTTTTCACATCCTACGTGTATGCATTGCAGGCCACAATACTTTCAAGTTGATTGCAGGAGAAAATTTCTCTAAATCACTAAATGCTTCTATTAAACTACGGAAAAGCGCATCGAATTTCTTCTTTAAAACTGTTTAAATTACCAATTACGGGTCCACATAATATTGATAAATAATCTCAGGTACAACTCTATTTCACGAAAAATATTTATATCAACTAATTAAAATAAAGGTGATTTCCAGAGTAGTAGTTTTTACTTACGGAAGTTATTTATAATCGAAACTCACTTTGCTGCATATAATTCTTACATGATCTTAAATTTTGAATGAATGCAAAAATATTTTCAATTAAGCTTAGATAACCAGAAAGTTGACGCAAGCTCCAAGCAGTGCGCATGCATTGTTTGATTAATATCTAAATTTACATTAGTTCACTCGTTAATTTTCGACGCCTGCGATCTTTAATCACCGTCAGTACACTCAATAATAATTCCACGCTGCCTGACGTTGGTGAGTTATGCGCACGCGGTTGTCCAAAAGGTGAGTTACGTACTGAGTGAGTAAAAAAATAACATAAGCACTGGACTCACTAAGGTACAATACTGTAGCTCACAAATTTCTCTGACTATAACTAGTCATAAATGTAATTCGATGCCGCCGTGTGGTAATAAATTAATGACAATTTTAAATTATTTCGAACATGAAATCCATTAAAAATTGTATGAATTGGTCATGCACAAAAAATTTGAGTTTGCTCCAAAAAAGACATCAAAATCCACATTTAATTTATTACTGATGATGCCAAAAAACTGAATTTTTTCGTTGGCGAGCGAAATTTTCCTTTTGTGAGTTTTTTTGTAATTGAATCGGATAATATTCAATAGTAACGAATGCCGTGGTTAGTAATTCAATGCAACGAGTAAATGTAATAACAAATTGATTCACGCCAGACATAGAGAGTTATTCAATATATGAAAGCGGTTTTTAACAATGATATCGTAAGAAACATAATAAAGTTACATTTATACGTGACAAAAATATCCGGGATGAATTTCGAATAGGGTACATATAATGTCCTACATCTCCCTCAACAATTATTTTATTTCTCATTCGTAACTGTTAAGCGAATTTATTGTTCGAATTTTTAAATTTATAACAGACAGTAACGAACAGCTGACAGTAAGTATAAAGTTCAATCTAGTAATAGATATCATATACCACACATCTATGAAGTTTAATACTATGACGTTGTTATTGCGAGGATTAAAAATTAGTTGAGTGAAAAAACCGATGAACATTTGCGTTCTACGCATTTCTTAATTTCCACGTAAAATGTGTCAGTGTGGATATAGTATTCCACAATTGGAGATAGAACATCTAGATAAGTTTCCATGTGCAACTAGTATACAGCCGAAAAATTCTTTATTGAAAAGATTTTTTCAATTCAAAGTTTCCAATAAATGTTGCCTCCCTATTAAGTCTGCTGTGTAAGTATATGTTTCATGCTCAATAATATTTTCTTTGATTGAGTTGTTACCAGGAATTGATTTTTTTGTGTTCACGAAAGTGGGAGTAAAAGCATTGAATTTAGTAATTGATTTGCCCGCGCCATGATATTGCAATTTTATTCGCGTATTTTTGATCACATTTTCTAAGAGACGTTCGTAACTTTACTATCGTATTTATTTAATAGAGTGATGCTATTACCATCAATACAGATGGACAACTCGACCGCCTATGCATAATAAGTAACTTACTGTAATTGCTCCAGGATTACATGCGTTAGACTTTTCGGACGAGGATGTCGAAAGAGGGTTCGTGCATCAAGAGTTTCTTGACTTCAGTGCAGTCGTCGTCTGAATCTTCGATGTCGCTCGACTGCTTCACTGCCTCGTACGATAGCTTCCCAATCTGCAACGACAATTAGTTGTAGAATCCGAAATATGAATATGGGATAAAAAATTCCTTAGTAATAAAAATCTTGTAAGAAATTAGTAATTTATAAAATTAATTAATTTATTATGTACTATAAGTGCAAAAAATATGGATCTTCATTGGGCTTTCATGGACCTCATGATGCCTGTTCAGTCTTGGGATGCTCCTACAGTCTCTGAAGTGTGAATTTCCAAAGTAAATTATGCCTTGGGGGCAAATTCCTTTTTCGCGGGTAAGGGATGGTGTAACAGGAAAATATTAAGTACGGCATTATTTACGAACGAGTTACATAATAAATGATGCATATTGAAATTTGCATAAAGTCGTGTTCAAAGTAAATGTTGAATATGAAAAGGTTGATGAGGTGATGAAAAGGTTATAAAGTAGAATTATGCAGTACTTTCAGTTTAGTGAACTTGAAAGGTGAATAAGAGAAAGAAATTGCATCAATGTTCATGAACTCCGAAATTTTTGTCCGGCACTTCTTAGCTGGCACAATCTTTCAGGTTCAAAACATTATATAGATTTTTCAATCTAATTTATGGAATAACAGGTTACGCCTGGTAATACAATTTTCCGAATAAATATAAGTTAGTCTTTGGTCCTATTTTCCGCATTATTATATGAGATTGAAAATGCTTCAGATCAAAGTCAATCAATGTCGTAGATTTTTTCAAAAAATTTTTCTTCCACACTACGAATTGTGACACGACAGTTGTAAAAAAGTGAAAAATTCCGTTCTGGAGAGAAATAATTTTATCTGAGATGAAATACGTTAGGCAAAAATAAAATTCATCTGTATGAAATGAAATATTTTTGTTAAAGCAAAGTGAATAAAAACACTATTGATTTCGTTATTTATCATTTAGCTACGTTTTCCATGCCACCGGCTGAAACTACTTTTATATTTAAAAAATCAAATGAATATTTCTCACGCAGACCATTAGCAAACAATTTTTTAAATCACTAAAAAATCTCGATGCTGATTTTACCTTCTAAGAAAGTTTTCGTACTTGAAAGTTTTGTTAACAAACAAGCTAACCACATACTTCATATTAGGTATTTGAATCGAAAGCAACAAGACAATTAAAAAATAACAACGAGGCCTTATGATAAAATCTTTATATCAAATTTTGATAAAAATTAATGTTCACGCAAAACAGTTTGGCAGTGAACATTTGCAGCCTAATGACCAGTACATAGATCATATTTTTACTTAAAGTAAATGAATCTTTTATGGTCAATGGACAATAGTAATGAATTTCTCTAAGCAATTGATGCTTCTGAATGATAATGAATGAGGACGAAATTATTTATATATTATCTGAATGAGGCAATTTAGTAAAATGTTTTCTCTCAATTTCTTTCTGAATACTGCAAAGCTTTGCTCTCACCTTTTTATTGGTAGCCTTCGCTTCATCGATGTAGGCGTAGAGCAAGAAGCAGAGCCAAAACACGACCAGCACCGACGTGTACAGCGAGAATACGATCAGCCAGCGAGGAAGTCCGGATTTTCGCGAGATGCAATCCAGAAGATCCAATTGCTGAGCAATGGACGTCTCCAGAGTTTGTTTGTTGTTACCTGCCATCGAGTGAACTTCCATGATGAGAGTGTTGCCAAGATCGTCTCGGACACTTATCACTTCCCTGTCCTTGCCTTCAGGTTTGTCTTGGTTGATGGTAATCTCTTTTGGTTGGTTTTTATTGACGTTTACCTTGGCCTTTGATGCAACATCTTCGGTGTTGGACAGCGCCGGGAAAGGTTTGTCGAATAAAGTTATTCTCTCTTTCCCATCAAGACCAGTTTTCTTTGCTTCTGGTACATGTTTGCCGTCATCTTTCTCAATTTTGATTGTTTTAGGGAAAATCGTTTTGCCGAAGAACGATGGGAAAAACGGAGGCATACCCCCAGCTTTTTGCATATCTTCTGTCAAGTGTTTTCCCATGATTTCCAGCTGTCGATTGAGTTCAAAATCGATGCCTGATGGGTCTTCTGCCAAAAGCTTGCCTTGAAACTCCATTTCTTTGTGCAGCATTTTTTTGTGGTTCTCGAGCTGTTGATGCAGCAGGTCATTGGGTGTACCGAGCGGCATTCCTCCGACAAACTGTACCGTCTCCGAGTTGACAATTCGCCCTCGAGGGCCTACGATGGTTTTGGTCTCGATGGTTTGTGGCCCAGATTTGTCAAGGAAAACTTCAACAGCAACTTGCGATACTGTCTTCTGCTCCGGAGACCTGAAAGATACATTTTTGTCTGTTACACACTTTCTGGTTTCCCATGTAATGCATCGCCTGAACTGAAATAATTTCGAATACTATCTATTGATGAACAATAATTTTGAATCTCTCTGACAATTATTTCATGCTAGCTTTCAGGTCGAACACAATTAACTGAAAACCAACTATATCACATCCTCTAGTATTTTTTTTAATGTTCACAAATTTTTCGTTTAGATTTAGAAAGCAGTACATTTACGAAATAGTTTAAAACCCTAAGTTTGAAAAAAAAATTTAAGTACCCAAAAGAAAATTTCTGAATACCACGACACAAAAATTTTCATGTCATTCTGTAAGCTTTGCTCAATTATATCACATAATGGAAAAATTGAAATTGAACGACTAATAAGAATTAAAAGTAAAGACCATATCGAACAAAATTTGACCATTACTCACTCTTGGACTGAAACTTCTATGAAATCAGGTGCCGAGAAGTCTGGGGCCTTTTCAAATCCTGAAAAATCAATATTCATTTTTAATCCGAATTTTTTCATGCATAAAAGTTTTATCAAAACGACAAATAATTATTCAGCTGTAATCGCAATTATTATTTCATCTATAATTTATAATTGGGATCAATTATTATTGAGATGCCACAATCGTTTATGTAATGCATTGTCGCGAAGAATTGTAAATAGTTTCCATATTAGTGAAAGTGTTTCTAGGTAGAATATTTCATAGAATGCAGTCGTCAATTCATAGCCCACTTACTGTGGTCACTGACTTTCTCAAATAATAATGACGATTTTCTCTTTCTTATGATTCATTTCTTACGCTGTATTCATGCAAATTCGCGATTAATTTCTTATAACACTGACTGTAGAGTACGAAGTAAAGCTGATTTTTGCTAATATTTGTCAACATAGATAGTAATACAAGATTTTTTCTGTTTGACCCCAATGTGTTTTCCTCGATGAAAATGTAAGTAAATTTCCAATGTGTCCATAATGCTAGCATAACTATATGTTTTTCATTAACAAATTCCTATTCAAGAAACAGTCATTGACCCAAAACTAACTCAGAGTCGCAATCACTAGACGAGCACAAGTTATCCCTAAATCGACTTTAGATGAATCAAAAATTTTGTGGAATGATTTTGTGTTTATCTTTATAGACTTACAGAACTTTATTAATGATAACTTATTTACTGGAATAAATTCATTGTTACAACTTATGTTTGATCGCTGTAGTAATATATAATATCTCGGAAATATCATTACCGACATTTGGAAGACTGTTTTCCTTATGGGAGCTGGTGAGAGTAGACCAAGCTGACAGCACAGACTGACCGAACTTGGTTGCCAGGCCGGAGAACATCTGTCGTACAGCTGAGAAGAGGCTACTTGGGCTCCCGAAGTTTGGTTCCGTTGTCTGAGCTCGGACCTGATCGGTGGATGATGAGGCTTGGAACTGACAGCCTACCACGCACGCTTCTTGCTCCTTGATGACTTTAAAGGCCGTGGCGCAAGCTGTGCGATGAGATATTAGTTTAGTAATTTTAAAATAAATCCTAAATTAACATAAGGGATGAGATTTTAGTTTAGTAATATTGAAATAAATCCTAAATTAACATAGGGGATGAGATATCAGTTTAGTAATTTTTAAATAAATCCTAAATTAACATAGGGGATGAGATATTAGCTTAGAAATTTTGAAATAAATCCTAAATTAACATAGGGGATAAAATATTAGTTTAGTAATTTTGAAATAGATTCTAAATTAACATAGGGGATGAGAGATTAGTTTAGTAATTTGAAATAAATCCTAAATTAACATAAGGGATGAGATATTAGTTTAGTGGTTTTGAAATAAATCCTAAATTAACATAGGGGATGAGATATTAGTTTAGTAATTTTGAAATAAATCCTAAATTGACATATAAACGTTAACTCATTTCTTATGAATGTGAATTGAGGAATCGTAAAAAACAAAAACAGCAAATAGCTTTTCGGAAGTCTTCTAAAAAATCCTCTTCATACTCAAAAAATTTAGGAATATCAAAAACTTGAATATTATAATGATTGATACGTGGCTCATTTTAGAGAAATATTCCATCTCACCAAGTCTGCAAGAATGTTTTGCTTCTTCAAAGTGATCGATGATCATGGGGCAGTGGATGATTTCCTTCATGTGGTCCTCGTGCAGTTTCTCGAAGTCTATGTTGTTCTTCCTCCTGATGATCTCGATGATGTTCAGTTCCTGATCAGCAGGGACAACAACCAAACTTTTGGGTTCGTTGAAGCTTAAACGGAAGAATGGGTGCACTTCATTTTTAACTGATGAGCTCAATTTGTTGGCGAGTTTGGTGAATACGTCGAATTCAGGGGACTTGTGATCCGACGCTGGGTTGGATGATTGTGGCGTGGTAGGTTTCCTTTCGTCGCCATCACTGGAGTCCGTTGTGATTTGCCGACTTGCTTGAACTGGATGGTCTTGGACTGGATGGGGTGCTGGTTGTGCAGTGGTCTTCGACACCGGTTCATGAGGCTTCAATTTTGATTTTTCACTGGTAGATTTGTCATCAACTGCTTTTTTCATGTTAACTTTCCCATTGGAATTGTTAGTTTGTTCCTTGAGTTTGTTTTTTTCTGTGAATTCGATCTTGACGGGCCCATGAGCTTTTGCTGGTTTAGTTGTCGTGTGTTCAGCGGAGCGAACAACATCCAGAATTTCCTTCGCTTCTTGACCTGTCACAACTTTAATCGGAGGATGAATTGACTCTTGAAGAGTTTTATTTTGATGAGCAGCCGAAGGAACTGGTTTTGAAAAAACGATCGCATGTTGGTGAATATTTTTCTTCTCGGGCTCTGCAATGGCGACTAACTTCTTGTTGTCATTTTGGTGCTTTTCATCGGGCAGCTTGGGGATGTTTTCGTTCTTTGTTTCTCCATCTGTCTTCAGGTGTCCAGTTTTCATTTTCTCCATGTTCATTAGCCTTTCCCGTATCTTTTGCTTCTCATGCTCCATTTTTTCGAAAATTGCACGAAGCCTCTCTCCTTTTTGCACTTTTGTTTCGTTCTCTTCGAGTACTTTTTTCTTAATCGATGTTCGATTGTTCTGATTCTTGCTCTCCTTGGTTTCACCGCCTTTTGCCTTTTGATCCATCGTAACAGGGAGACCAAGGAGTAGGCTGGTTAGTTTTGGTTCCAGGTTCACATTGAGAGGACCGTGCGGGAAACTCATTCCTTTGATCATGGGCAGCTCTCCCTGTGGCGTCGCTAACAATGCAACTGTGAAAAGCTCGCAGCCGCGGTGACAAACAGCTGCTACGCCCGGGTGCTGGAAAACGGTTTTAGTTAATTATAAGATAAATTATGTTTTGCAGTGGCAAAGCGAATAAAAATTATCGTCCATCATAGATTTGTGATAAATCTCCGTCTGTCTATCCGCTGAAAAGTAATATTCTGGTCATTATTGTGACCAGCGATATTGTTAAAGGCTATGAGCGAATATGTTAACCTTATGGTTTTGTGAAAATATCTAAAACCTTTCATGAATACAATTAAAATACACCGAGCTTCAATAGAGGTATTGGACGGTTAAAAACCCACCTGCGTGCATTACAAATGTATCCCGTTCGTGATTAGTTTCCTAAATTTTGGCCAATCATTAACATTCAATAAACAAAAAATTCTAATTGGAACAATGAATAAAAATAAAGGTTAGCGATGGGGTTTTTGAAAATTGGCCATTTATTTGGAAGTTCACTGGAACCAAATAAAAATAACCGATATTTTTCTAAACTTACTTCAAGTAGTTGGTCCTTGCTGAAGTTTGAATCACATTTCTGCTTGCAGAAATTTGGCCATTTATTTGGAAGTTCACTAGAACCAAATAAAAATAACTGATATTTTTTTTATAAACTTACTTCAAGTAGTTGGTCTTTGCTGAAGTTTGCATCACATTTCTGCTTGCATAAAGGCCATCCTGCTTCAACCTGACAGACTAGCCAGACCGCAGCCACGAAGATGGCTGGGAGGGTTTTGGTGTAAGGCATGCCTAGCGTTTTAGAGACTCAGTACTGATAATGCATCTGTGGATGATTAATTTTAGGAAATTTAGCCAGGTAAAGTTCCTACAATTTAGATTTCTACCGTCAACTTCTTTAAATTTCATAATATAATAATAATATAATTACGTTTTGTATATATATATACAATAATAATATTCATTGTAAAAATTGAATTCTTTGTTGTAAGGTTTAAGTAACGAGGAAGGCATGCATTAAGGGCATACAATCCCGGTAATAGGCTGCTACGCAGACTTGTGTCGAGACGTGTACTAATATCCCTATATTTATGCAGGCTCGATTGAAGACCATGAAGACCAGAGTATCTTTTTTTCTTAATTTGTTTTCTCATTACAATTTTCTTATTTTTTTTCTTTTCAATAAGTCGAACAAAGTTTCTTGCTGGTGCTTGGAGATCAGAAAAGCAGGTTAACACACGACATTTTACTGGAATATGAAGTTTAGAATATTCAATATTCATTCTCAAGAGGAAGACCTCAATCTAGGGGACCAAAGAACAATATGCGAGAGGCTCACAACAAAAATATCACCCGTCGAATGCATGACATTGGAAGCCTGCACCGGCATCATCATGCGGTGCCATTCTAATACAAGATTGACGATATCACATGCTCTCATCAGCAAGGATTAGTTTCCAACTATCAATTTGCAAACCACCGGATTTGTCAGAACATTAAAGTTGCTCTCGAAATAATTTTAGGTTTTGATTTAGGTTTGACGAGGCTACGATACATATTGTTGCTGTAGTTCGGCAGAATTTGTTCTTTAATGCATGTTTCATTGAAGACTACAGAATATTTCTTATTGGAAATTTTCTATTCGACGAATTTGGCTTTAGATAGGACTTGAAAATTCAAATATTAGGTTTACAAGGGACATTTTATTATTATTTATGACGTTTATAATGAAATTACATTCCTTATCTAGTAGAGAAAGAGTTTGGCAACACTTGATTTCGAAATTTTGAAATTACGTTGGTACAAAGAAAGGGTATTATGGATACATTTTTAAAAATCTGATACATTATTGTATCCATAATAAAACTGTTAATAAAAAGCATACTCTCGTCTTCAACCAAACTTAGGTCGCTACTTATCCGTCTATCGCTACGATGAAATGACTTTAGTACAAACAAAGGGTATTATGAATACAGATTGAAAAAACTGTATATATTATTATAACCATGGTAAAGCTGTTAATAAAAAGCATGCTCTAATTTTCAATCAAACCTGTCCTACTTAGGTTGCTACTTGTCCTTCTATCACTACGTGCACTTATGTTGCTATGCAAAATTATATCTCTACGTGTACTAAGGCCGCTACGTGCATGGCCCCAGTCTAGCTCGGCATTGGTAGCCTAGGCTACGATAGCCACAATACCACATGCAGTTCAGTGTCTTTTGATTGAGGTCGATCGATCGCACCACACGTTCAGCCCTGCATTGAAGCACAAATTTATTTAATGACACTTCTTAAACTTCTAAACCTAAAACGATAACAATTTTCAACACGTTTGATCTTAAAAAATGAGCTTACGTGAAATATCTAAACATATCTGAATATTGTAGCTTAATTTGTTCGGTTGGTTCACATATTAAAAGCTAAACAATTTTCGGGAAATTTCATTAATACATTATTAATACTGGATTAAGTCACAAACAAAATTAGAGGTGATAATCGAATGATACTAAAAATAATGATTGAACTGAATAAGAGTTAATACATGAATAATGCTCGGCTTATCTTTACAATAATATTCTGGCATACCACAGCGACGATGCAGACATATCGCTGAACTGAATTATAAATTCTCGCCCGTTACCAGGGAACGACCTGGAACAACACAGCACTTCCGTTCTCTCATTCTTTCTTTAATAAACTTAATTTTTCAATTAACGGCTTCATAGTAGAGAGTAGTATAGTAGACTATACTACTCTAGTATGGTATAGTAGTATAGTAGACTTAATTACGTTTATACTGCCAATGAAAATATTTTTTATTTAGTGGAAAAAATTGAGAGTCAAATTGAGAGGGATTGACAGTCAGTTCAAATAATTTCAAATGGCCGGTAAAAATTGACAGGAGAAAAAGCATTTTTGTCTACGATAAAAATTTAAACATTCACAATTGAAATACAGTAAATCTGCTTTGGGTTGAATTTTCAGGTAAATTGACAGTAAAGGATTCAAAATGTATCATCACTTTTGAGCACCAAAATGTAATTGTTGAGGCTCAGATATATTTCCAATACAATGCCTCGTGCAGACATAACAACTCCCAGCTTAAAATTTTACTATAAAATAGAGGCTGAAGAATTATAGAAATACTAGTAATAACACTAAATATTTATGCAGACAATTATTATAATTGATATAGGAGCAAAGAGATACGTATGATTCTCATGCGAATGGTCCACGGATTCTGCACCCAACATTCAATTTACTTTCTCCAGGAGAATCTACGGTCAGAGTGAAATTTGTTACCATTAATATAATGAATGAAATATATAGATTAAAAAATGGTAAAAAGTAGGTTTTGAGAACTTTCCGGGACTTAACCATCTTGGAGAATAACGTTTTTTATGAAGAAAACTAAAATTGTGCACCGGAAGAAACTCACACAAAAAACTCATTAAAATATTCAGCGTGCAGTGTAAGAAACCATTGGTATATCAAAGAAATTTTTTATGTGCAAGTATTTTCCAAAAATTTACTTCTCTATCGCTCAGCTTAGTCGGTTGCCTGCAGCACGCAGTATCAAAACACTGCAATGGAAGCTTCCGGGATGCAATGGCTGAGCAGTGCACAAAAGACCTTGTGGCGCCAATACTTGAAGAGTACCGATTTCCAGACTTGCAGTTCGCTACAATTTTTTATATATCACGTTTCACAGAAGTTTCACTCTATTCTTAAATATCCTGACACAAATTGAGATTTTTAAAGTAAAACCTGGATAAATTGAAATAATTTACACGAGAAAGGAGCAATATATCAAATGAGGAATGCTCTGTAAAATTTCCAAATTCCTCCCAGTCAGGTGTTGATTTTAATTAAAATGACTGATTGATCTCGATTCTAATTTTTAGGTAATGATTAATATTGAATAAATTATATTTGTGCCTCACGTGAGTAGAGAAATATATCAATAATCGCCTGGATAAATCCGGATGAATTAGCGCATTATCGTTATTTTTGTATTTAAAAAATATTTTTGTTTGTATCATACTATATTCATAAAACGTTTGACTTTCACTTTATTTCAAATCGACGTCAACTTTAACTCTAATTTCTTTGTTTCAATATCATTTCTTATTTTGGTGATAAAAAATATGCATATATAACTTGTTAAACTGGGTACCGTTAACATCGTTTAAGACGCAACAGCTGAACCAACTAGTAATAAAACAAATTTAACAGAAGTTTTATTTTGAAATTATTCGAATTTGCATGAAAAAAGCGGTTTCAGCTTCCGTCGATTATTTTGCACGCAACAGTTGAAGCGAGTAGCCGCAGACTGAGCACGCCAAGTCTGTAGCACCGCGGAATCGATCAAGGAACGAACTGCCGCCACCTCGCGGCTAGGTTCGGAACCATGGTGCAGTCAAGAAACGGGATGTAGACTATGATTATTCTCAAAATGATTACATTTCTAGGTTAAAGTCGATATATTAGGTAGCATGATCATAAATTGTAGATTATGTAGGCACATTTTTATATCCTAGCTTACTTACATAGGTTTATCTATGAATAATTGACTGGTATTACTATTTATAGATACAACGACCAAACATGAGTTACGAACATTGAATGCGACTTCACAAACATTTCATTGATGTACAACGATACTTTACTCGGATTATTCGGAATATTACCTTTTCGAATCACTACTTCTAAAAATGGTCATAATTGTGTATACTACACACTCAGAAATAACTGCGAAATGTAGAAAAACAATTAATTATGATTAAAATTGAATTAACCATTGCAGTTCTTTATTTGGGTAAAAAATTGTTAAAAATATGTTATTGGTACAGATAATTTTAGCATCGCTGTATCGGCTTTTATTACACCCGTTTTCTATTTGGTTCGGTTGATGCGTGTCTTTTGCAGTAACTTTTGATCAAGAGAGTAAGAAAGGAAAAGAGGAAGAGCAGCAAAGAAGAGATGAGGGAGACAACATATAAATATAAATTTCCACATAGTGGCTGGGATCAGTTTTGTTAAACTAATAATTGGCAGGCTCCCAAGATTTTACTTAATCGCCTAGGTTTTATGTATTCGAAACATTGGCTGAATCCATAACTGTATTAAATCCGGCTCCGCATTGAGATGGCTGAGATTAGTGACGGATCGCACAGTGTACGTATATTCAACGTTCTATACTTGTTAGACAAATATATATTACTTTAAAAAACATCGAAAAACATCTCCGATATTTTTATTCAATCTTGTAAAATTATCTCTATTAGCATCGCGTCTTGTCCCCAGAATGATTTAATCTTGTGTTTGAGTAATACCTAAAAAACAAATAATTAGAAGATGAATCGTAAAATTAAGGTAATATTATCCTAAATCTCGATAATAATTTGGACCTGAAAATATTAATGGTTCTCCCAATTTGCATAGTTCTGTATAATATTTTTTATTTATTAAACAATTAGAATTTATTTCATGACGATGAAAGACGTCGAAGGGTTTGATTTGAAATAACGTATAAATAATTTTCAATTTTTCACTGCTTAAGGAGCACTTTATGTCACATTATAAATGAATAGAATAATATCCTCGCTAGGAACGTTAATGCAAAACCCAATGTAGGGAAGTTAACTAAGAAGAAATGTAATCAGTGAAAACACTATAACAAAATTAAACCAGAGAAGCATTAAAAGTTGTTATCATACTGAACTCTACGCTAAAGTGATGAAAGTAAATTTTCTAGCCACTTATATTGACTGCTTTTAATTAGGACGAACGCAACTTGAGTTTGTGAAAATTTTCAATCGCTTCATGAAAGGGATATTTGAGGTTTAATTAATTAGTAACATTTTATAAAGTATTATCCAATGCAGATTTATAATAACGCATTTGGATTTTTTCTTATTACTCGTAAAATAATTTATTGAACTGGCCAGCATGTGATGGGTTAGACCTAGTGAAAAAAGAGGTATTGATTAATCGTAACAAATGAAATTATTTATCAAATTCTATTGTATATGTATTTTATCTATCCCCTAACTGCACCACAATTGCTCTCTATAAACTTCAACGAACAACGACAACTTAAAGAAATAAAATTGAATTTTATAAAGATCTTATACAGATAATAATGATAAAATGTATGAATATTCATATTATTTAGTACTTAAATTCGGGGACTGCTTATGCTGTGGACGAATCGTCGATTTACTCGAGGCAAAGTTATTTTGGGTCTGCTTGGCCGCCCGATCGGGTGGATTGATGAATTATGTTATAATGTTGATGAATTAGGTTATAATAACTCAAGTGAGCTTTAGATAGATTTTATTTATTGCTCTTCAAGAATAGTATAGTCAATGCCGACTTCCATGTTGAGGTAAGACACCACGCGCGTCGAGAGCGTTGGAGAGTCCCCGACAACGGCTGAGCCTCCTTCTTTCTTCATGGTCACGGAAAATGTCGGGCCGGTCTCGTAGGAATAGCTAGTGACCGTGTTCACTCTGCAATTTAGGAATTAAATTTGATTTTTCGTATTGACTAAACTATAATACGTGGTAGCATACGACTATACTATACTATACTATACTATACTATACTATACTATACTATACTATACTATACTATACTATACTATACTATACTATACTATACTATATTAAACTATACGCTACCATATTATACTATTCTATTTTTACAGTATGTTACAGCCTGAGTCCAAAAAATTTGTTTCCGATTGCAATTATTCTACTGACTGCATTTGATGTTCATTCTGCTCTAACTCCTGAGCTAATTGATCAATCATTCAATAAAAAAGGTGAAATATATCATACACTAAAACACAACAACTTCATGCATTAATAGTTGAGCCATTAATTAACACGCAGCTCAAGTGATAAAAAATTGAACATCAATAAAAACACAAAAAAAAAAAATAATTTGCTTATGTTTGATCCTCCAAACCATTGAGTCAATGCTCACTTCAACACGTTTTTAAATTACTTGCATTAATTACAAATGCATGCATCCCATCGTATAGCAGAATTTTAAATTTCTGAATCCATCGTCATATGGAAGCTAGTCATGTCCTAGTTCCCCACCTTATAAAAAAAAAAAAATCAAAATTATTCTGTAGTTGAAAAAACTCAAATCAATCGCTCAGTTAAAATATAAAATTTGTTTTTACTTTGAGTCCCATAGTCGATGCGCTATCAAAAAAAAAAATAAAATTATACTGTGGCTGAAAAAAACCCAGATCAATCGCTCAGTTAAAATATAAAATTTGTTCCTACTTTGAGTCCCATAGTCGGTGCGCCACGTCTCTGAAAACTCCATACTCGCGAATTAGTTTGTTAGGCGACGAGAAGATGTTATTGCTGCTAGTGGCGTCAATGTATTGTTCGTTGCCTGTTATGGACGTCTTCCAGTTTGGGAATACCACGGAATCTGCGGATATGCGGAAACCAATGTAATATTTTAATACAGTTATAATAACACAAACAAACTTCTAGGAATATGAATGATTAAGAAAGAAAGTGGTTACAGTGTGTAATATTCAAATCGTGGGTAATTTATCGGAATCATCCGATAAACAACAAAAAATGAGAAAAAATGAACATTGCACAGTCCACCATTTTTAAAGTGTGTTATTGTGTTATTGTGTTAATGCCATGTAATATTCATAAATGTACACATTGTCCCACTGAGCTCATCAGCCTCCTGCACCCATCAGCCTACCGCTTTATTAACGACACTTATTAGCGTACTGCACCCATTAGCCAAGCGTTATTAGCCTACTGCACAAATTATTGTGTACTTATTACCCTATTGCAGCCATCAGCCTCACCATCGTATAGGTTGAACTCATCAACCTCACTGTATCCCTCCGTGAGGGAAACAGTGATCCCTCACGGAGAGCCTGTATCCTCACGGAGATCCCTCACGGAGATATCCCTCATGGCCACGGCTCGGTTATTGAATGGGGGAATCTCGCACAGTCTCTCCCTCCTTTCGTTGTAACGTGACACTATTCTGGAGGTCTCACTCTCAAAGTTGGGAGCCAGTCTGGTTATCATCTGCCAAGTGTACAGTATGATATACCTTTCTCTTCTTCTCTCCAGTGAGTACAGTTCCAGGTGTTTCAGCCTTTCCCAGTAGTCCAGGTTCAGCTCCCTCATGCAGCTGATCCTGTACTTGAAGGCCGCTGCACTGCCTCTAGTTTCCGCACTGCACTCGCCTTGAGTGGTGACCAAAGTTGGCAGCAATACTCAAGATTGGGGAGCACAAGGGCTCTGGAGAGTGCAATCATTAGTGCTGCTTCTCTTGTTCTAAATGAACGCCATATCCACTCTATCCGTTGTCGGCTGCGGGCGACAATTTCTTCGATATGGGCTTCGAACGTGGCTTTCATTACTCATCAAAACTCCGAGATCTCGAACTAGTTGCTTCTCCTCAATTTCTGTGTCATCTGATGCCAAATAGCGATGTGGCATCTCGATCTCAGTGAGGACTCTGTATCTCATTACTTCGAACTTGGTGCCGTTGAACTGCATAATATTCACTAGGGCCCAATCGTTGATTGACGATAGGTCATCCTGTAACCTCCCGCAGTCTAGGTCATTTGTGAGCTTCATCAGCACTCTTGTATCGTCCGCAAATTACGAGTAGATGCGTGGGTTAGTTCCGAGTCAATAACTGTAATGTGGATGAGAAAGAGGATCGTCCCAAGCACTGAGTCTTGTGGAACTCCGCTTTTCACCTTCGCATCTCTCAATTTCGAGTTTCCAATTGCGACAGCTTGTACTCTATCTGTAAGGAAGTTGTGGATCCACCTCAACAGGCTTCCTCCTACCCCCAACAGCCTCAGCTTTCTAAAGAGCACCCCATGGTCAACTTTGTCAAAAGCTTTAGTAAAGTCTTTGTAAACCACGTCCACGCCAGCTCCCTCCTCCAGCTGGGCCACAATACGGTGATGGTGCTCTAGTAACTGCTACCAACAGGAGCGATTGCGGCGGAAATCATGTTGCCCGTTATTATACAGGTCAGCTTCTTCCATGTACCGGACAAGCCTCCTGACCACTACCTTTTCTAAAACCTTGATCACATGTTAGGTCAAGGTCACAGGCCTGTAATTTTGGGGTCTGTCCCTCGGACCTCTTTTGTGGATTGGCGTTACCAGTCCCACTTTGAGACCCTCAGGGATAATTCCCTCTGTTACCGAGGCTTTCCAGGGCATTGTGAGTGGAGCCTTCAGTGCTCCAACACACTTCTTCAACAGAACAGCCGGAATTCCGTCGGGTCCTGGCGCTGAAAACGTCGCCAGCTCCTTGATACTTATTTCCATGTCTTCCGGTCCAAACTCAATGGTCTCCAACCCTCTACCGTCTGGCAGCTCCTGGAGAACTTCAATGTTGCAGCCATCAGCCTCACAATCGTAAAGGTTGAACACATCAGCCTCACCATCGTATAGGTTGAACACATCAGCCTCACCACCGTACAGGTTGAACACATCAGCCTCACCATCGTACAGGTTGAACACATCAGCCTCACCATCGTAAAGGTTGAACACATCAGCCTCACCATCGTACAAGTTGAACACGTCGCCCTCGGTGAAGTATGAGACTCGCACGCCCGCGGTTCGCGTGTGGGGCGCCGCGGGGTCCTTGACAGCAGCGGCGACGCTCACGACCATCGCTCCTCCCGCCGAGCCCAGGATCTGGGGGAGCGAGGGCCGATATTACACGAGGAATTGTATTTATTTTTTATCAACAGGATTTGCTGTCAATAAACTGGTATTTTCTCCTCAGACTGGTTTTCTTGTCTACAAACAGATATTGTCGTCCGCAACTGGTATCGTTGATTTCAGGCCATAGTTATTGACGCTGTGTTTAAACTAGTGTCATGTTCAAAGAGGTATTTAAACTATTGTTGCTGTTTTTAAACTAGTGCAGATGTCTTCACACTGGTATTGTTGAATGCAAACTAATATTGTTGTGCGTTATTTGTTGTTTTGTGTTATTTTTGTTAAACTAATAACTCTATAGCTGTGTGTTATTTGAACATTTTTTAATATCTACAAGCTGTAATGGTTTTCTTCAAGCCTGTCGTGTAATGAGACGTGAAAAAGAATGGACAAAGGGCATATTGGAAGCGTGCATCTTGCATGATGCATACCGAATTGGTAAAATATAAATTAAATTTAAATTTGACTGTAAACCAGCAGCCAATCCAGGGACAAAGTTTTATGTAATAGTGTAAAAACACTAAAATATTGCCGGGACAAAAATGATTGGACTTTCGTTATTTTACGGAAAATTGGTCTTACAGATAAAAATTGGCTTTACAGATAAAATTATTTTCAACAAATCTTCACTGCCACATAAGCAGTAGTATTCAAGTTTGTATCTGAATTAGTCTGCTCTTTGAAACGGTTAGTTCACAATATTTTTAATAAAGCATTTACGTAGTTAATGTAATAAGTTTTGCAGTTTGCGTCCTCATGTGCTTGGGTTGTATGCACGACTCAAATTATTTATTTGAAAAATCACATTTAATTTTAATTGCGAAAATTCCTGAAGATTTCTTGAATCATAAGTTAGTATACTTGTATCAAATTAAGGATTTTATCTCCCAATGCGGGCATTCATTGCATTTATATCAGTCCGAAAAGATTTCCAAAAATGCAATTTTTCAAAAGCTCACTCTTAATTTAAAAGAAACACATATGTTTGTATTCCAAATGATCCTATTCACTTAAAACTTACTGCAATTATACAATTAAATTCGTTTGAAACGTGAGTAGATAATAATAATTATTTTATGACAGTATACCGAAATATTCCGAATAATTTGAGGCTATTGTGACGATGTAAATGAATAACAATAAGAAATTTATATTAGTATACAGAAATAATAAAAATAATTATAGGCTAGTATAATGACCTCAGCAGTTCCGTCTTCGGCTATCAGCACGCCGGTGTCTTCATCTACGCCGATAGCCACTTGCGTGCTCGGGTCTGAAGTCTTCGTGTCCAGCAGCAACTCAATCAACCTGGAAATTAATCATTTTATCATAATTAATCAGTCATTAAGCATTACATACAATGAACTTTTACATGTATTAATAATGTTCAAAATTTTAGCACGAACTGACATGTTGCTTGGATCTAAAGTCATCGTCTCCAAAAGCAACTCAATCATCACCCATGAAATAGATCATACCTAAATGTACCAACCTTTAGCTTGATTGAATAATGTTTGAAAAGTTGGCAATTTTTTAGGCTTGAAATTTATGAGTTTTAAAACGAAGAGATTTCCATAGAAATTCAACATTTCTTCAAAGAAAAGAGACAAAGATACTCTCCCCATTCATATAAAACTGTTTGTTGTTGTTTGTATGACGTCACGTGATTTTTATTCTAGAGTCACGGAGCATAAAGGAAGGAGTTTTAGGACTGGCCACTTATAATCGTGCCTCCCTCATTGGGTTGTGCTGCTCACGCCTATCAGCGTGATGTTCTTATTACTGATAGTGATATTGAGGTTTTAGCTTCCACTCCTGGGGCTTATGACTTGCATATTTTAGAGTCCTTGTGTATTTTAAAACTGAAGAACAGTGTCCTAGTTTGAATTCAGCTTTTAGCTCTTACCCACTTGAAAGTGTGAATAGATGAGCTTTGACTTTTTTCTCTCTTTTTAGCGCATTTTCTCATTTATGGAAAAAATGCGCTATTGTGCTCGCCGTGTCGGTCTATCCGTCCGTCTGTCTCTCTGTCCGTCCGTCCGTGATTTCACGTTTTCGTCGACGAGAAAATGCGCCCTCTGTCACTCACTGCAGTGAGTGACAGAGACAGACAGAGTGAGTGACTTTTTTGCAAATTTTGGTTTTATCATCTCTATCGTTTTTTGTTATATTTTTTATCTGCTTGCCTGAATTTTCAAACGGACGATGGAGTAGGAATCCGAAACGTTTTCTATGATGATTGGTTGAATTTTGAGAAGTTTTTTTTTTTTTTGCTTTTGAAATGAAATTTCTGTACATAAAAGTCAATCGATTATTTTTCTAATCGTGTCACGCTTCATTCAACATGTCTCTTTTGCTTCAGATCGACAAGCAACCTTGAATTAATTCACTTTACATTCTGTAAATCTTACAAGCTTGGACAGACATAACTAGGAAGCTTCGATCGTGTTTATGCTTCGATCGTTCTCATATTAAGTGAATGATGAAGAATAAACAGCGCAAAATTAGAATTCCATTTAATCTTTATCAAGTAAATGTCAAACTCACTCCAATGCGTAATCGCCATTTAATTATTAAAACAATTTTCTTTCCACACCTAGGAGCACAATGTTGTAAGTGCAGAAAAGATAATTCAGCAAAGTAATTTATTTCAATATGACACAATTTTGTCGTCAGTCAAATGTTTTCGTTGCGTCAAACTAAATGTAATGCTCCTCATCAATTATTAAAATTCTGTGTGGCCAATAAGAGATAAAAGTATTCTGCAACGAAGGCCTTTCGTTATTAGCTTTCACGATATTAAATCTATTCTCAAAGTTTTTTCTATGTGTTCCAGGAATATAGAGGCTGTGTGAGAGTTTTTCCTCAATACTTTTCCTCCATATTATATAGTCGAGTTCTACGCCCTATGTAAAATCTGTTTTTTAACTTCTCTCCATTAATTAGGTTAGTTAATGTTTGGTATAATTAATGGAATTTGTGATTATAAAATGGCAATGATTATTTCAATTACCGTTCATGGGAATTTTTCGGGAGAGGCAAACAATTTGATGTGGTTGTTGTTGCATGTATAAAAATTTCAGAAACACGCCTAACTTTATAATTAATTCCTCAATAGAAATCAAAAGCAAATGAAATACCATGAATTTCAATCCCGATTACCTTGCTTCCCTGCCACGCTTTGAGTAATAAGTATCCACCAAATAACAAGTATTTTGGAGCAAATTAATACCGTTCTTCATCCAACATGTTCCTTTAGCTTCAGAGAAGCAACCTTGAATTCAATCACTTTTTATACTCTAAATCTTACAAGCTTGGACAGACACAACTAGGAAACCATCATCGTCACTGGCGATTATGTTTTAGTTATTCTTCTTTATCTTAATAAGTAAATAATAAAGAATAAACAATGGAAAATTATAATTCCATGTAATCTTTACAAAGGAAATTGCAGGTAACTCACTCAAATGCGTGATCGCCATTAACATTGATATCCCGATTACCTGGCTTCCTTACCGCGCTGGGAGTAATGGGTATCCACCGCAGACCAAGAATTACCAAAGGTATTTTTGAAGCAAATAAAATACCATACACTTCAATTTCGATTACCTTGCTTCCCTGCCACACAGGGAAATAAAGAGTATTTGCCACATACCGAGAATTAACAAAGGTAATTTTGATTCAAATAAAATGCCGTGTATTATAATTCGATTACCTGGCTTCCCTGCTGCGCTGAGAGATACGAGTGTCCACCACATACCAAGAATTACCAAGTTGATTTTGAAGTAATTAAAATACCGTGTATTGTAACTCCGATTACCTGGCTTCTCAGCCTAGCTGGGAGAAATGAATGTCTACAACATGATCAGAATTACCAAGTTGATTTTGAAGCAAATAAAATACCGTGTATTATAATATTGACTACCTGGCTTCCCTGCCGCGCTGGGAGAAGTGAATGTCTACAACATGACCAGAATTACCAAGTTGACTTTGAAGCAAATAAAACACCGTGTATTATAATTCCGATTACCTTGCTTCCCTGCCGCGCTGGGAGAAAAGAGTGTCCACCACATACCAAGAACTTCCAAGTTGATTTTGAAGCAAATAAAATACCAGGTAATTCAATTCCGATTACCTGGCTTCCCTGCCGCGCTGGGAGAAGTGGGTGTCCACCACATAGCCCCTCACCAGCCCCAGGCCGCCGTCCTCGATGTAGCACAGATCGTCGGGGTAGTCAGGGTTGTAGCCTCCCGCATACGCACCGTAACTGAAGTGAAAAATTCGAATTAAATAATAGCGCTTCAACAATCAAAAATTTTTTTATTTCATCCTTCTTATGAGAGATATATATATTTAGAATTTCTATTTGTCTTGAATAAATTAGAGAATGGATGAACAAAATGGATCATAACCATCGATTTTGAATTGTTCATGTCGATTTTGAACATTCATAGCAATTCGTCTCTGGCGGTTGATAACATGTTGCTCTAAAAATAAATAGAAGTTTGTTGAACCTAAATTCGAACGAATTAACTAACAAATTACCACCTTGCAATCGCAATGAGGCCGTACTTTTACAACTCGCTTGAGTAAAAGCATCGGCTTCAGTACACAGAGCGGCTAAAATACACGTAGTTGCATGAGTTTAAGTAGCGGCCAATGGACACTTAGTGGCTTATTCCTCGTTTATGATTGGTGGTTTTGCTAGAAAAACCCTCATAGATTGTCTGACGAAGTTTCGAACTAGAAGCTATTCTTGATCATACAACTCCTGCACTACCAATAAATCCACTCACGCGACTGCATTATAAGATAGTCCCCCATCTATCATGGGTCCGGTGCCCTGACAGGCCGCCCCGGCGCTCGTGCCACCAACGATGCCCCCCGCTGCCAGCACCCCTCGTAGAGCGCTCAGACTCGCAGTGTCTGTAATATTAGGCTTTTGTTAATGTTTAACCCAAATTTGTATGAATTGTATATTTTTCACTACTTCTACAGCAGACAACACTCCTCGTAGAGCGCTCAGACTCGCAGTGTCTAATATCAGGCTTGTATTAATGTTTAACCTATATTTGTATCAATAAAATATATAATATTATTTACATCTATTCTTAATCATATTTTTTTCACTACTTCTCCAGGAGGCAACACTCATTGTACGTAGGACGCTCAGACTTGCGGTATCGGCACTGTTAAATTTTGTTGGCGTGGACCTTAAAATTATTGGAATTTAGTAGAACTTAGGTCACTCCTCACAGAACGTTCAGACACATTATGCCTGTGACATTAGAATTTTTTCGTTGCTGAACTTGGAATTACTTGACTTACAGTGTATATATTCCCTCGGGAATTCCTTATTGGGCACACAGACTATATAGCCGTGTCCTAATATTAAGCTTTCGTAATTGCTAATGAAGATCTTAGAAATATTATAATTTTGAATGCCTCATAGCACTTCAGATAACGTTCAGACTCGCAGTGGCTGCAACATTAAGCTTACGTTTGGCGCAGAAATTAGAATTATTAGACTTTTGTTCGACTTATGGTACCCTTGAGAAAGCGCTTAGACTCACTATGTCTGCTATGTTAAGCTTTTGTTGCTGCGGAACTTGATTTCACTCACTACCTTCTCTAGAAGAAATAATCGCATGAGAGATGCTCAAATTAATAATTAAATAATGCTTCAAATTATTACAGTATTAATGAAATTTGTAAGAAAATTCTTGATTGTCTTCATTATACATATTTTACGCTAGAATCCCTTTAGGCAAATGACGTTGTAAGATCGTTGTTCATGAATTGATTCCTCTGAAACTTTCAATCAACGTTATTTTAACGTTAGATGCCTGATGGAATTTGACTAACCACAAAATGTGAATAAACTACGAAACATGAACAAAATTTGAATACAACAGGTCCAGTCTCACCTGACTCATCTGCGTTGACCCACCCTGCCAATATTCTGGCCTGCAGCCTCACCTGACCCATCAGCGTTGACCCACCCTGCCAATATTCTGGCCTGCTGCCTCACCTGACCCATCAGCGTTGACCCACCCTGCAAATATTCTGGCCTGCTGCCTCGCCTGACCCATCTGCGTTGACCCACCCTGCCAATATTCTGGCCTGCTGCCTCACCTGACCCATCTGCGTTGACCCACCCTGCCAATCTTCTGGCCTGCAGCCTCACCTGACCCATCAGCGTTGACCCACCCTGCCAATATTCTGGCCTGGTCGCCACCTCCCATAAAGAGACCAGTTTGTGAAGCCACCAGGTCTGCAACCTAAGAAATAAATTCTGTATTTAATTTATCGCTGAATTACAAATAAACAAAGTAAAAGAAAAAAGTTACTACGTATAAATCTGACTTCTCGAGTTTTAATCGCATTTACTCGACTTTTAATGGCATTGTTTGCATCGTTTCACTCTATGAAATAAAAAATATATATCCATTAAGACACTTTGTTCAGAAATCAACTATTTTTAGATATGATACTGATCGCAAAACTTACACTTACACTTATACCCAGATAAAATCCCCATTGAAAATCCCCATTTAAATTCCCCATTTTAAATCCCCAGGTTCCATTACCAGTTCGACTGCAATTGAATGCAATTAACACTCAGGCCACGACTTCACGAAAATAATACAGAATTTGGTCTATAAAATAAATTTGAATGAATCTTAAATAAAATAATAATCACCGCAGCGTCGTTAGCATTATGGCTCCTCTCAGTGATGGGAATGTAGTCAACTGAAGCTGCTCCGTATGCCAAGAACATGTCCTGGGCAGAAATAAAAAAGTAAGGGCAAAAAAGTCATTGATATTGTAGAGTTCTTATGAAAATGACAAACATTCCAATTAATAATCGTGAACATGAAGGTGAACTTCAAGTTATTAATTGTCACCAATCTAGCGATGAAAAAATTAATACAGCTGTGGTGAACGCAAAAATTACAACTTGAGTCCAGTGTTAAATTCCTTTCAATGAATAAAATTTAATTTGTTAGAAATTCTTCAAATTTCAGTTAACATTTATGTATTTATGTATATATCATTATGTCCACACACAGAAATTTTTGTTAGACACGGCATGGTGCATTTGCTCAAGACGAAATAAAATTTATATATTTACCCATTAACGATTTTTTTTAAATATACGTAACTTAACGTGATTATATACCCCACTAATTTCCAGTATTCATGTGAAGGAGTACTAGCAGGATAGATTGCTATCGCTTCAGCTATCAATATATTTCGCATCGGAGATGTGAAATGAAGATTATTGAATCCGGAAGGCAGATTATCGAAAGTTTACGCGATAAATCTTTCATCATGATGATTTCCTTAACGATATTGTACGTTTCGGGTATTCATTATTCGCATTTAATATTTGTCCAGTACTAACCTGTACTCACCGATTGTGGGTTAAAGCATATTCAGCCTAATCCCAAGAAAGGGACAATAATCTATTAAGACACTCCTATTAATTCAAGACAAATTACGTAAATTAAACAACAAATGAAATTATTCAACAAAAAATGTAGCACCTGGTAATAAGTGGCCGAGTCTTCAGGAGTTGCTGATGCAGTCGTGATAACACCGACTCTTGCAACGCCTTGTCCACCCTGCAAGAGCACAGGGTGTTAATATAAATATTTATAATATTTATATTATAAATATTTATACAACAAAAAAATTATATACATATCAATCAATATTTTTTGATTCTACTACTTAATAAACTTTTTATAAAATAAAGACATTATTGAAATTACTATTATTCAATGATATTTTTGCTGTGTTTAGCGCATTTTCTCATTTATAGAAAAAAGGCGCTATGTCCTCCGTCCGTCTGTCCGTCCGTGACGGAAGGACGGACGCGAGAAAATGCGCTCACTGTCAATCACTTCAGGGAGTACTGATCTAATTTTTCTAATATTCTCACCGCGAGTTCGATGAACCGACTCCACACGGCCGCATTCTCATCCGTGAGACCTCCGCCCACCAGCATGACATTACCGCCGTATACGGTGCTTATAATTGCCCATAGGTGCAGGCATACAGCGAGCGTGTGTACTAGCTTCATGTTAATAAAATTAAACTATCAAATGTGAAATTAACAATTCTTTTCAGACCTACGGGGTTCAAAGCAGGGACGTTAGTAATATCGCATTAATTTATTGACCTAAAATAATACGATTTACAACCGTTTAACAGAATTATTGAACAATGTTTGCAATATTTAAATAGATGCAAAACTATCCAATCAAACTAAAGTAAATTAAATATTATTATTGTATGAAAGAGCTACTGTCGTATCGATCCACATAATTTATCTCTGAATGATAACTGTTTATCCGATAACCTATTCGTTTCCGTGACATTCACCTATAAAATTATATAATATGGACCCAATTCTAAATTAATAATATTAATTAAGTTATATTTCTTTGCTATTTCAGAAGTTCTACCGTGATTAGTCACTTGCAAATGCTTGTAGAGTGTTTTCTTTTCCCTACCAAACTCAAAAATATATTCTACTCAATTTCATTTTATACAATGAAAATTATTTAGTCACTGAGTACTTTGACAATTTTTCAGCGCAACTGCAATAAAAAATTAATTCCCAACAATTTTTTTTTCGATTTTAAAACCAATTATAAGTTATTCATTAAATTAATTCCTCCCAATCTGCATTGCAAATTCAACATCCATCAAACCATGCCAAATTTTCACTGCTATTTTCTCAAGCTCATAAGATAAGTGTCATTACTTGACAAACGTCACATAGACTGTAACCATGACTTGGCTGTCCTTTATATACCTGCCTCGATAGCCAGATGATATTTTTCGTGGGTTTCCAGAACACATGACGTGTTCTGTTCAAGTCAATCTGACTTGCACTAGAACTGTGGGAACTGTATTTTATCTACAGTAACAGTGGCTCGTATTCTGAGTATCTATGCAAATTGGTATGATTTCTCGTGTTAATAGTTTTAGCTTTGGTTTCAAAGGAATAGTGAATGTTAAAATTCTAGCTCCATTGAACACTTATGAGCTTGAGAAAATAGCAGTGAAAATTTGGCATGGTTTGATGGATGTTGAATTTGCAATGCAGATTGGGAGGAATTAATTTAATGAATAACTTATAATTGGTTTTAAAATAAAAAAAAAAATTGTTGGGAATTAATTTTTTATTGCAGTTACGCTGGAAAATTGTCTAAGTACTCAGTGAATAAATGATTTTCATTGTATAAAATGAAATCGAGTAGAATAAATTTTTTTCAGAAGATGAAAGTAATGATATTTGGGAAAATGCTTCGTCATGTCAGCTGTGTGCGCAATATTGGTAAAAGCCTGATTTTCTCTCTCGTTACGTTATCTATCAAAGATAAATCTTCAGATGGCAAACATTTTATGTTATTGAGAACATAGACGATTTTTGAATAACTTCCATCCTAATACGTGCTTATTATTAAAAAATTCAAAAGTTTAATAATTAATTTCCTTCCACTTCATAACCTTAATAACCAGCACAAAGTAATTTGTTACCTGTACTTTAGAATGTTTTTATTTTGTTGCCTGAAGTATTGATTATTCGATGAATTAATAAATTTTATCTCAATAATGAAATAGTAATATGTTACCTCAATTAATAAACATTCATTTTCTCATGAGATTTAATCTGTATAACCGAATATTTGTCTTGCATCAGGTATATAGATGATGTATCGAAGTAATATGTTTTTAGGATGAGTAAACTGAAATATCACGGGAATTTTTTATCTAATAATAAAAGCAGGAAAGTATCTTTGACTATGGCCCGTATGCTAAATAGGGCACTAGCACTACGAAGTAGCACTATGCACTACGAAGTGTCCTGTTGGTATGCTAAATACGTCACAGACACTAAGCACTTCGAAGTAGCTCTACAATGTTTAGTGTCGCTTAGTGTCGCACTACTGATTCGTATGCAGAAAGACTTTGAAGTGCTACTTCGCTGTTGGAGTACTTTATAGTGCCGCACTACGCTATGAGTCTATTGAAGAATGGTAGTTAAGTGTTCAAATAGTTAATTATTCCCTAAGTAATTATCATTCTTTGCAGAAGATTGATGTAAAATGTCTAATTGTGATGGTATATAATGGTACTATTAAAAATTGTAATGGTGAGCTGAAATTCGCAATGCGTCTGCGCACCTTTCCCATCATATATTCAAAGGCCACGCTTTTCATCGAACATCGAAGACATCGAACAAAAGAGAGAAGTATGGAAAGTTCTTGCAGAAAAATTCAAAATGGCTCCAGAAAAAAAATCTAAGCATGGTATCAAAAACAAGAAAAGTATTTTCTACTACTACGCTGTTCATCTGTTTCGCCAAGGAAAATGTCAGCCATAAGAATAACATGTTGTTCACTGAAGCGGTACACTTTTTTATATTCATGGCATGTAGTTCCTGAGGTTTTTACGCGATGATGCCTTTGCTGTAAGCCAAACAGATCCATAGCTGACGAAGTAAACAAGGTTAAATATACCGTAGTGTCGTCGTGAAGTGCGGTGTGTAGGACACTTCAGATTTTTGTAGTGCGCGTTATGCTTTTGGCCCTATTTAGCATACCAACCGTAGTGTTCCATGCCGCTCTATGGCTTGTAGTGCGTAGTGCTACTTCATAGTGCTAGTGCCCTATTTAGCAGGCCAACCGCAGTGTTCCATGTCGCACTATAGTAGGCACTACGGCTTGTAGTGCGTAGTGCTACTTCGAAGTGCTAGTACCCTATTTAGCATACGGGCCTATATATTGACTAGAGCAGCTTGCCATAGTTTAGCAAGATTGCATGTTTCTCAAAAATCGAACTCCAAATTTTCACACACCTTATAATAAGAACATTGCTAGTAAAATAGGAGTTTGCGTATTTTATTTAACGCCGACGTCACGCCGAAGCCATACATTATTGCGAATAAAATAATATTCGAGAACTTAACTATGAACGAATCCGCCCCCGCCGTGGTGTTGAGAAAATAAATGACTGACAGTGAACCATGAAGTTGAAACCGAATATAACAACAGTGATTATAGCCTATTTAAAATCACAAATCCATGATTTCATATTGAAAACTTGGAAGCGAACAAGTAAAGCAATTAAAACAATAGGGTAACACCAGAAAAACTATGGATGTCCGAAAGAAAGTAAAATCTCAGAAATAAGATCTCCGAAGATGAATATAAATTACCTTCCTAATTTTGAAAATTATTTTCTTCATTTACGCCCGATGAACAAATTATGTCAAGTTTATTTATTGGCATCGGATCAGACACAACATTTGACTACGCCTTGCAACATTTCGGCTGCAAAGTTTTCTCCTTCGACATGACCATCGTGAACAGCACCAACACTCACGTTACTCCCAACTGGAATTTCCTCACTTTAGGAATAAGCAACGAGTCTGTGGTGGTGAGTCATATTCCTTTTTTTGTATGGCTAATTAATTTTCGTGGGAGATGTGCCGTGCAACGATATTTTTCCGAATGGGTGCATTGTTTTAAAGAAATCCCACTTCACGTAATTAAAATATTGCAGTGACGATTGTTGATGATTAAAGTATTGACGATAAGCCTGTAATCTTTGAATGACTATGCACGCTTATAAAAAATATAAATAATCGTTAATTGGACGTATATGCGATCGATGAGGTCATATCTACGATATCGACGAAAGTCATAATTTTCCTTGTGTGATAAATTAAAAATGATGAGCTAAGTTTCCCTAGGGATACTTAATTAAATACCGTATGATGATCTTTTTACTATTAAAAATTAAACAAGACACAGAAATTAACTAGCAAACAAAGTGGTTTCATATCAAGGCACTTTATCACTAATAATTTCCACATAAATGAGAATAATGAGATTCAGGATGACTTTTGCTCGCCTTTTCACAAGGACACTGGAAAATAATTCTTAAATCGTTCTATTTTAGCTTGTCACGCTTTTTATTTTAAAACATCTTACCTATTCTTGTTTCCTACATGAACATCTGTTGAAAATTTTTCATCTCCTAAACATTTATTTGAATAATTTCACAGCGACAGCCCACTAAAAGCAGCAAAGGAAACTATAATTTCTATCAATACACACTAAATGCAAGCTGTTGATAAAATTTTGACTTCCCAATTAGAGCGCACACATTTTTTATCTTGAAATTAGCTCAACCGACCTTGTTTTGTCTACGAATAATTTTATGTCTTCAATACCTGTCCACGTATATATAATCTATAAATTGCTTGTGTTTTCATAATGTTATTCTAAAACGCATAATTTTGCTTCGCATATGACGATTTTTTTCAAAATAGTTTTCATGATTTATTATTACTTTATAATTAAAATGTACAATATTATATTGCAGCAGTTAGGCATGACGATGCGGCCAGCGGGGAACACCATCGTTGCTACCCTGATTACCTTGGAAAAAATCCAATAAATTTTCGACAGAAGCGATTCAAAGATCGACATCCTGAAGGTAATTTACTTTCTTACTCTTTACGCTGCTAATATTGCATTACTTTCTATGTGAAAGTTTTTGTACGTCAGTAAGGTGGATATTGTGTGAAATACTATGTTAAATTAAGTTTCACAATTAAATCTCAAATTATGGTTACGTAAATTAATTCAAATATAACACGTATGGACAGTGAACTTTAATAGAAATTCATTGAAATTAAATAAAATATTTAAACTTCAATTTTTTGCTAGAAAATGCTTTTAAATTCATTATTATCGAATATAAAAAATGAAATTCATTCCGTTTGCTAGATTAAGATTAAATTTGGTACTTTAATTCCTACAAAATTGTACACATGGGTTGGCATGTAAATTAACGATCATTTATTTCCTCATTCATATTATGCCTTGCTTAATACTTTTATTCTGAAGTTCTTTTGTAATCAATTATTTTTTTTTGGCAACCATTAGTCGTCGTTTGCGGTACATTGTTGCATTTTTGTGGCGTCCAGCGTGAATGTAGAGCAGCGGTTCCCAAAGTGGGCGATATCGCCCCCTGGGGGCGGTGAAAAGATCTGGGGGGGGGGCGGTGAGGAAGAAAGGGCAGTAGTGGGCGGCAGTCCGCGAAATCGAAGTCAGAAGTTCGTACGTTTGTTTGACGATTTGTACACAACACGTGCAGAACATGACTCCGACTGGAATAAATTTTCACGAGCTAAAAATCACAATTTGGTTGTTAGGAATTTATATTCAAATTTTCGTCCGAGTATGTTCACTAGTTTGGAAAAAATTCTTTGGTCGCTGCGAACTTCGACTGGTATCACCATAAAACTCCCGAATTGATGTAAAATTTAAAAAGTTTAACGTGCTAAACATCACCGTTAGGTCCTAATGAATACGTGTTCAAAGTTTTATAGTGCTGCGTTCATTAGTTTGGGAGATATTCCTTGGTCACTGAATTTGGAGATTGGCCGTGAGACCGGCTGCGAGACCGGCCACGAGTCCGGCCCTAAATTTGCCCGAGCAGTCTTGAATTTCTAGTGCTGAAACAGTTAAAACTGTAAAAAAATATATTGGTTTACAAAATGGGGCTCTATTTGTAAAATACACCTTTGTGTTTGTAGTATTGTAAGCCCATTCCGTACTACTGACAGGCATGCAAGCTTTCTTTGAGCCTAGTCATAGAATTATAGATGCACTTCGTCCTGTATGTCCCTGCGAGGTGGTCTGAGCTACTTAGGCTGCAGAGCACGACTCTAAGGTATGAGTTTGACGAGGTTAACTATTATTTTCTATATTTGTTATTAGTGAAGGTTATGTCGTGCGAATATAGTCAGATTATTTATTCATTGGTGTTAATTGTAAGTATTGTTGTCCGTCCTCTAGGGCACAGCGGAGTCCTTCTTCTCTCGCGACTCCTCTCATTACGTCGCTACTCTCATTATTGCTCTCAGATAACTCTTATGCGCCTCTCTGCTTAATAGTTAGGATAATTAGACTTGTAAAGATCTTTTGTTTATTGAACCTTGACATAACAATCTCACAGTGTTTAACCTTCCTCTTTTAAAATTGCAGCGTACTAAATATCAAGAAAGATGCGTTTGTTTTTATATGTGTCTGTAGGGAGGGGCGCTAGAGATTCACTGGGGAGCCAAAGGGAGCGTCAGCCTGATAAAGTTTGGGACCCATTGAATTGTAGAGGCGATCATTCATTTAAGTGAATCAACGACTCAAATGGTACAATGTGTTTTCTTTTCTTCAACTTTCCTTCACTAAACACGTTCTCTTTCCTTTTAATGAGCTATCGTTAGTCATTTAATTTGTTTGCTGATTTTTTGTGGCAGTAATTTTCTCACTCGTAAACTAAAATTTTGCATGACATTTTGTGGTAATTCATCCCTAATGTTGCCGCCATTGTTTATTGTATTTAGTTTTACGGTTTACATGTAGATCTGGGTATAAATGGTAAAAAAATTTACGTTCATATTTTTATGAGTTAAATATTTCCTTTACGAGTAACACGAAATTTTGTTTAAAAGAGATACATTTTTTCGAGAGATAAAACACACATCTGCTCACACTTAATCTCACATTTTCTCAGACTAAAAATATTTTAATTTCTTGAAATAAAATCTTTGCGGCAACAAACTAAGAAATATGCAGGAATTTGTGATGGTTATGCGAACTAATGAATCTAGTTTTTCTTCTGAGAAAAAATGTATTCAGTTGATTCAAATATATTCTTTACACATAATTGTTACTACATCATTACTTTTTGGGGAAGATTAATTTTTAATTATTGATTTCAGTTATATGGACGCATAAGAGTATGAATGAAAATATCAGACCAACTCAACGAGAAATAAGAAGTCGAATTTTGTCTCGTATAAACCATAAACATAAAGATTGAGATGAACTTGATTTAATTTTGATGTTATTTATTTCCTTTTCGTCGTTGGAATGTCTTCTATCATGTGAAAGAATAAGCAGATTAATTTCTGTAAACTTTTTAGGAAGAATATGTTTGTTACTCCAAATATTGGGGTCAAACATTTGATTCAGTACCATTTCCACGTTAATTCATAGTAGAACCCATTTTCTAATGTTGGGTAAAATAGGTCTGTTTTCCTTGTCAATAATAAACATTCCCTGGTTGTTGTTTTTTGTGCAAATTATCAGGCATATATAAGATTTTCCTGCAAAAAAAATTATATATAAGTAATTTCTATTGCAATATTTGCGTTACAGATTCACCCGAGAATCTGTTCGATGATACAGAGTCTGTAAGAGTCCAAGTTATGCTAAATTTTGAACCGGTTCTGAACAGCCTCCATGGGCTGGGCTTCCGTCTCATGCACATTTTCCCCTACAAATTCAGACAGGTACAGAATTTACTATAGTGATTACCTTTTTGAATTTTGCCCAAAGAATTTCATGAGTTCGGGATTCGTTCAAAGGAATTATAGTACGATAATTACAATTTTGTCAAAATTTAGTATCGGCCTGCAATTTAATACAAGGGTAATTTTCCTCGTGTTTTGATAGGTTTTACTATTAAATGTTTATATTTAATATGTAATAGTATTAATAATAATGTTAACTATTAATTTTAATGTGTTATTAATATTAATAATATTTAATATTTAATGTTAAATGTTCGATAATAGTATAGTCAATACCAACTTCTATATTATTGTCGCTTATGCATGATCAGCGATATACTACACGTTTATAAATTTTAACCCAAGTTACGGCACTCCATGAAAATTTAGCAGTCATTCTAAAACTTCTGAGCGCTTTTAATTAGATTTAATGCTCTTCAAGAATAGTATAGTCAATGTCGACTTCCATGTTGAGGTAAGACACCACGCGCGTCGAGAGCGTTGGAGAGTCCCCGACAACGGCTGTGCCTCCTTCTTTCTTCATGGTCACGGAAAATGTCGGGCCGGTCTCGTAAGAATAGCTTGTGGCCGAGTCCGCCCTGTTATATGAGGATTGAATTTTTCAGTAAGATTGATGGACCAAATCTTTTCAAAACTGGTTTGCCCGCTTTAGCCTTAAGTAAAAACTTTAACAAGCTTAAACCGGACTAAAATTATTTAATTTGTGTAAATTTGTAGCTTTGAAATAGGCTCAATTAAATTTTTGAAATTTGTAGCGCATTCTTTCAATTAATAATATACGTTTAAGAATTACTTTTTAAATACAAAACTTCTAAAAAATCCTATGTCTCCATTGTTAAAGGTGTACAATGAATTTCTCATTTTATTTTCGAATATAAAAAAATTAATTTTCCAATTTTTTAATATATAAATTTTTTTTTCAAAATTATTTATTCTGTCAATTGATTCATGCATTGCCTCCGACTTCACACAAGTCTGCAAAAGTTCAGATCAATTGGTCAGGTAAAAGTGTGTCAAATATCAGTTATAAGATTTGTAGCTGACAAAATTATTTTTTCAATTATTCTAATATTGAATTTTTTTTTTAGTTTTTAAAATCATTTTTTTTGTCATTTGATTCTTGCATTGTCTCCAACTTTACGCAAGTGTGCAAAATTTCAGATAGATAGGATAAGTAGAAGTGCTTTAAATTTCAATTATAAGATTTGTAGCAGACAGACAGACAAACAAACAAGAAGTTAAGTTAAAGAGAAGTGCTGTAAAAAAGGTTAACTTCGAGCTGTATAACACCGCTCGGGAAGGAAGATACAATTCAAGGTGCTAATGTTCATTGTTTTTTTTAGTTTAGTCAAGTCCACAACCCGTGTGTTATATAGAGGTTCTTTCAGAGAGTTGTGCGATACTGATTGATCTGTAACCTTCTCAACCTATACGATCATTCACGCAAGTTGAGAGTTCTAAAGGCTCCAACAGCATATGTCGCAGATCAGATCATGCGTTTAAATTTCAGAAGTCATCATATAAAACAATTTTAAGCATGATAAAAAAGTAGACTACCCAACAAAGCTAATAAAATAAAAACCAGAAATCAATCACCCGTAAACAATTTTAATTTATACTTACTTGGAGTCCCAAAGTCGGTGCGCAACGTCTCTGAAAACTCCGTCCTCGGCAGTTGGGTTATTTGGCGACGAGAAGATATTGTTGCTGCTTGTGGCGTCAACGTAGAGTTCGTTGTCAGCTATGGGCGTTTTCCAGCTCGGGTAGACTACGGAATCTACAGAAAAACGGTTACATTTTAGACGTTTATTACATTTAAAATATCTCAGAATAATTTCAAGAAACATGGGATGTTAGAGTTTGTAAAGTTGAAATAGTCTTATTGAATTATTTAATTACCAACTAAAAACGAAGAAAAAGGAAAATCGCTCAGTAAACTATTAGAAAAATGAGAAAAAACTAGTGCACTCTGATATGTATAAATTCCAAATAATAATGATATTTAAGTGCCCACAGGAGCCACTGCCCTGTCAAAATTCAGACGTGGCTGTCGTTCGGGTTTCAGTTGCCGCCCTCGCGGATTAGAGATGAATCAGATCTGAAATGTCCGCTTCCCCTAATCAGCTGCCCAATAGGTGCTATTTTGGGTAGTTCCATGGTAAAAAATATAAGGGTCAAATGACACACGATATTAGCGGCTGGTCAGGCCACCATTAACTTGCCCTGCTCAGTAGCTGGCATTAGTTCTCAGCGCAAGCGTGACAAGCCTCTGATTCAAAAAACCCATACAAATACGATGCAAGAGTAGGCGCACGAGTTTCTCCACGCGTGCGTTTCACCCCTCATGCATTGCGTGTACGTCAACATGTTGGCGTTACGTCTTCTTGATTGGAATGTTTTTATGCACACGCAAACCGCTTCGAAATTTTTGAGACAATATTTTGATACGAAATTTTAGGGTCGCACCAGCGTTTCATTACGCGTGCAATGATTGTCCATCGGCACGAGACCTTTACGCATGCTTAACTAACACGACTGCGTCGCGTTGTTTTCAACCCGCATGCAGCGCGTTCGTGTCAAGACGCTTGCGTTGCGTTTCAGTGAACACGCTTGCTTTAAGCTTGTGCGAACTCCCTTGCAATATGTGTACATGAACACGCGTGCATTGCTTGTGCGTCAATATGCGTGTATTGCATGTGTTCACCAAAACACCAACGTTTCAGAGGCAGGGGTGCCAAAATTTTCCCCTTTATACTCCCTAATAAGGAGTGGGAGGTTAGTTATCAACTACCCGGCTTGAGACAATCAGTGAGAGGTAGTTCGGACTTCGGACGAGGAGGCACTGCGCTGAGCTGAAATTGAGGGGAGCGCAGCCGTGCACCACCAATTTTGTTCACCAATAAGCCCTGAATCGAACGCCTTGGATCTCTCTGGACATCCACCAATCAGCCGTGAACAACTCGGCTTTGTCTTCCTTCGGTCTCGCTTAGAACCTGCCGTGCACCACCAGGCCGCGGATCGAATCAGACTTCCGGGCATCGTTGAATTACGTAATTTTACGTTCACCGCATCTGAGGTTCTGTTCCAAAATTTATCGTCCTTCGACAAGTGGCCGTTCGACCGAGGGCTGGTTCGACCCACGGCCTAGATACGGACGGCTTGAAGTATTGAAGGCTACGTTCCGGAAGGCAAGAATCATGATGGTCCATTATATCGAGGGCAATGGTGGTCTTCGGCAGGCGACCCAAATTGAGCAGTGGCTTACTGGTGTTCGTTCCGTTCGAACGTTAGTTGATACACGCATCTCACTCGAATTGTGTAATCTTATCGTGAATAAGGAAGTGTACATCTTGCAAACAACTCAGTGTTAAAAACTGAATATTACCGTTTTTGACATTTTCAGAAATGAAAATTCCTTACTTTTTGCTGTTATGTGCTTTCAAAAGTGAAGTTCGTTGCAATACTTCTCGTCGGCAGGCGAAATTCATCATGACAACGCATTTGTGAGTTCAAGATTTTGGCAGCGGTAGAAATTTTCAACTTCGGGCATGTCAACAAAAGCATGTTATTCAAGCTGTTCCGGTTCACGTGCTTAAGGTTCTAATTTCTAAATAAACATGTCAACTGAATCAATTGTTCAATCGAAAGTTTATCATTGACTACGATGCTACCTAACCAACATTCGGCGCGTTGTCAGGATGTCGCAAGTCTCACACCACTGGACGGGCCAGCTGATGCACGATGGAAAAGGTTTGCAATGCAAAGCGTATTCCGATTATTCGCAAGCAAGTTAGTTGCCTTTGTTCTGTTCTATCTACTCTATTTCGTTGTATCGTCAGGTTTCATTATTGAGTTATATATAAGTTTAAGGATGAATTTGGTTATTTCTGAAGAACTACAAAGTATATGAGGATAGATTCAGGTAATCTCCATCGAGCCCAGCAATATTGGAATGGTATTTGACGTTAGAAATGCTTCTATTATTCATTTTGTAGCAGTTGCAAGCAGTATTTTCAAACCCGGGTGAAATTTTTTGCTAGACGAATGATTTCTTCAACAAAAGAACTGTTCAGCTTATGGCATATGTCTGCATGCTTGAGCTTATTGCTCAAGCATAAGATAGCTTATGAACTATCGCTTTTGAGGAGCCCCTCTGTGATTAACATACTTGATTTGAGGATTTCCATAACTATTGTATATTCAGCTATTTATTTGATTGTCTCTCCAGGAATTTAGAGTGCAGGATAACTTTAATAGGTGAGAAGAACTACATGTGAAGCTCAATACTGTCATTGCAGCAGCAGACGATGGATGCAGAAAGATCCTCATTTGCTATAGAATAGAATAGAAGTGTGGGCATTGAAGAAATAGGCCCATGGCCTGTTGCCGATTCATGAACTTTTCGGGACTTGATTCACAAGGGATCCGGCATTTGGAACCCGATCTTTCCATAACTGACTGAGGGAAAGCTCACGAAATTTCAGATTTCTTGCCATACTTGCACGCCACAACATGCGTGCTGGCAAACTTGCCTCACTGCTATCTCCGTCGTGGAGGAACGCGCACTTCCCGCTCCTCGTTTTGCCGTTAGCCCGGTGAGTTGAGTAGGACTATAGCTTTTTATCTCCGGTGTTATAATTTTCGTTTACCGCGTTCATTCTTTCGCCTAAATTATTGATATTTTTAAGGTAAATATTAAAGGAGGGTTGCTTAAATTGTGGATGTGACTTTAATTGTCCGGCCTATTCCCACTTGCGGCTAGGTCTGGCCTTTGTAGGCTCCTGAGATGTATTTGCGCTGGCAATATGTTGATTGCTGGTTGCCATGTTTAGGTTTTTTTTTGTTAATGGTGTCCGTGCCCCAACGGTCTGCTCGCTTGAACGCCATGGCGCTGCAGCACCTACAGCCTGACATTGACCATGTCCTTTTTGTTTAAGGTACGCCGGTGGGCCTGCTTGGTGGCGCTGACCACGTTACCTCCGGAGCTTCTGTTGTTATTTCCATTCGAGTCTGCTCGAGCTATGTAGTTCTACATTTTAACGAATTTTTCAGATTCGGCCGTGCCTGTCCCGAACGTATCAGGTACCAAATACGCGCACCCCACGATCGCTCCAATTTAAGCTCGACAGGTATTTCACTTGATTCCGTTTCGGCGACTATTTCACTCCGGCAACCGGAATCTAAAGCGGACATAAAGCCGCTAAGGCGAGCGTGGGGCGTCCTTGTAACGCGGCTGACAGGAATAAAAATTTCGATAGGGTGTACGCCATCAGTTGAATATCAGCCTTCTGCAATCATAAGCCTACTGTACAGTATACAAATCAGACTACTGCATACATTAACCTACTGCACACATCAGCTTACTACACACATCAGTCTACTGTACACATTAGCCTACTGCTTGCATCAGCCTACTGCCCGCATAAGCGTACTGCACCCATCAGCCTTTTGTAAACTTCAGCCTATACTGCACACATTTCAGCCTACTGCACTCAACAGCCTTTTGTACACAGCATTGCTCACATCAGCCTCACCATCGTACAGGTTGAACACATCAGCCTCACCATCGTTAAGGTTGAACACATCAGCCTCACCATCGTATAGGTTGAACACATCAGCCTCACCATCGTACAGGTTGAACACATCAGCCTCACCATCGTACAGGTTGAACACATCAGCCTCACCATCGTAAAGGTTGAACACGTTAACCTCCTGCTGCCATCACTCTCACCATCGTAAAGGTTGAACACATCAGTCTCACCATCGTACAAGTTGAACACATCAGCCTCACCATCGTAAAGGTTGAACACATCAGTCTCACCATCGTACAAGTTGAACACATCAGCCTCACCATCGTATAGGTTGAACACGTCGCCCTCCGTGAAGTATGAGACTCGCACGCCCGCGGTTCGCGTGTGGGGCGCCGCGGGGTCCTTGACAGCAGCGGCGACGCTCACGACCATCGCTCCTCCCGCCGAGCCCAGGATCTGGGGGCGCGAGGGCCGATATTACATAAAGAATGGTATATGTCTCTTCAAACATGTGTTGTATTCAATTTAATTGTGTGGTCGTCAAACATATATAGTTGTCTCCCCTAACAAAATTTAGAGTCGCCCCAGCTTCTGGTACTCCAGATCAAAACCTGAAGCGTCTGTAAATTTTCACTAGGTTGAGCTTAGTTTTTTTTCAAATTAATGCTGTTGTCTTCAAATTGTATTTGTCCATAGTAAACTAGTCTTGTTGTCTTCGAACTAGCATTTTTTTCTCCGAAATAGCATTATTTTCATTAAAAAGTTCAAAATAATTGAAGGCTAATGACCTCAGCAGTTCCGTCTTCGGCTATCAGCACGCCGGTGTCTTCGTCTATGCCAATGCCCAATTGCGTGCTGGGGTCTGAAGTCTTCGTGTCCAGCAGCAACTCAATCAACCTGGAATTAAATCGTGCATTGATATGGTGAACTCAAACATGCTTTTAAAATGTTCAAAAAGTTGTCACTTTCTTCACACGCATGTTGGGTCTAAACTTTTAGAAAAGTCAATCGATCAATTTTGAAATAAACTTGCTTCATCCTACGTAACTCATTTGGCAATCTTCCATTGAATTAGGTTTCATACTACATACTGTACATGTCTATCATTTTGCTTAACAGGAAAGTTTGAAGTAGATTATGTTTCATTCGTTGAATTTTGTACGCTTAAACAAACATTCACATTGAACCTTGCGTAGTCACTTGCGAACATGCCTTTATTTATCTTTCGTTCTCATAGCCAGGCCAGTAATAAAGAATAAAAAAATAATAAATCGCAATTAACAGAATTTTGCTCGAAAAATTTGTAATAACTCATAATAAAAATACCTGATCATTTTATCTTATCGTCCAATTCACTTTTTCAGCCGTAGAAGCATAATATTTTAAATGGATAACCAGCAATACTGGCATGTCAAATAATATTAACTTTATATGGCACAATTTCATCTTCAGGCAACACACGAAAGGTTTTAATCCTATCAAGTTTCGTGAAGTAAGGATGCTGAATTAAGACTGCAAGGTACAAAAGAAGAAGGATTACTTGCGATAACAAATTGTGTATGTATAAGTTCTGGAACTGCTACTGAATACTTTAATTCTTAGCCTTCCTAAATGAATAAAAATCAAATACAAAAGCAAAAGAGATGCAAATAATTTTTTTAATAATCGCTATTACTTGCATCCCAATTTTAACTTGGGATGCAGGTAAGTTTATTAACACATATTTAGTTAAAAAATTTTTGAACTTAATATGTGTTACTAAAGGAATACGGGAGAAAAAAAATACCATGCAATTCAATTTCGATTACCTGGCTTCCCTGCTAGGCTAGGAGAAAAGAGTATCCATCACATATACCGAGAATTAACAAAGATAATTTTGAAGCAAATAAAATACCATGTATTTTAATTCCGATTACTTGACTTCCCTGCCGCACTGGGAGAAATGAGTGTCCAGCACATACCAAGAATTACCAAGTTGATTTTGAAGCAAATAAAATACCATGTATTTTAATTTCGATTACCTGGCTTCTCTGCCGCGCTGGGAGAAATGAGTATCCACCACATAGCCCCTCACCAGCCCCAGCCCGCCGTCCTCGATGTAGCACAGATCGTCTCTGTTGGCAGTTTCGCAGCCTCCCTCGTGAGCACCGGAACTGATATGAAAAATGCAAACTCGATTACAGTTTGTTCAAAACAATTTTCATCTCTACGCGCCATTTATTGCGGGTAATATTGGACTCATAAATGATCAGGAATTTGCCAAACATCAAAATCAGCAAATGTACCAAAATTAAACAAACAAGCTATCAGCGAGCTTAGCCTTTAAAATAAACATCACCATTCGTAAACCCCTGAAAAAAGACTCATTTCTATCGATCTGGGCCGTACTTTCAAAACTGTCTTCGATCAGTACACGATGCAACCCAAGTGCTCACAGCGGTCTAAGTATACGTAACGGCTCCCTTTATGCCTGTAATTGGCGAGATTTTTATTAGGAAAAATAAACTCACTCGACTGCATTGTAAGAAAGTCCATATGCAATCATGGGTCCGGTGCCCTGGCATCCCGCCCCTGCACTCGTGCCGCCAACGATGCCCCCAGCAGACAACACTCCTCGTAGTGAGCTCAGACTCGCAGTGTCTGTAATATTAAGCTATTGTTAATGTTAAACCTAGACTTGTATGAATTATATATTTTTAGCGAATTTTCTCATTTATGAAAAAATGCACTATTGTGCTCGCCATGTCCGTCCGTCTGTCTGTCTATCCGTGACTTCATGTTTTCGTCGACGAGAAAATGCGCTCTCTGTCACTCACGGCAGTGAGTACCGAGTTATATTTTTTCACAACTTCTACAGCAGACAACACTCCTCGTAGAGCGCTCAGACTCGCAGTGTTTGTAATATTAAACTCTTGCTGGTGCTGAACTTGAAATCATTATAATTTTTATACAATATGCCTCTCCTCAGACGGCGCTCTGACCCACGATGTCTACATTATTAAACTTTTGTTGGGGCAGAAATTAAAATTAATTTATATTTATATTCTTTTTGGCACTCCCCGTAAAGCGTTCAGACTCGTAGTGTCTGTAACATCAAGCTTTTGTTCATTTTAATACATAGAACTATTATCACTACCAGTAGAAGAAAATTACAACCGCAGCGCTCAAGTTAACAGTTAATGCTATAAATTGTCTGATTTGAAATCAGCGAAAGTTTCTTGATGGAATTATTTAATTTTTTAGGGATAAAGGTTAATCAAGTACAAAAAAATTAACGTTTGAAATCCTGCGCCCGTATGAGCTCAGCAGGTGCAGTCTCACCTGACCCATCAGCGTTGACCCACCCTGCCAATATTCTGGCCTCAAGCTTCACCTGACCCATCTGCGTTGACCCACCCTGCCAATATTCTGGCCTGCAGTCTCACCTGACTCATCTGCGTTCACCCACCCTGCCAATATTCTGGCCTGCAGTCTCACCTGACCCATCTGCGTTGACCCACTTTGCCAATATTCTGGCCTGCAGCCTCACCTGACCCATCTGCGTTGACCCACCCTGCCAATATTCTGAGCCGGTCGCCTCCGTCGAAAAAGAGGCCAGTCTGTGATGCCACCAAGTCTGCAACCTGAATTGCATAGAAATTAACGATGCACGCAATTAACCTCTGAATTAAAATGAATGAAGGATGAAGAAATAATTAAATAAACGAAAATATTACTTCTCGATTTTTCAGCCCATTTTCATAATATATATGTGTATGTTACACTTTATATATCGATAGACTGAATCCATATGAAGATTTTTTAGAGAAATCCACTATTTTTACATTTTACCTCCACACAATACTCTCTTAATAAAATTTTTCTTAATATCTAATAAAGCTTATTCAGTAAGTTTCGTTCAAATTTTGAGAAAGACACTCCCAAGCCATGAGTGTACCAATAAAATCGAGAATAATAAAATTAATGAAAAATATTATTAAATAATAATCACCTCAGCATCGTTGGCATTATTGCTACTCTGTGTGATAGGAATCCACTCAACTGAAGCTGCTCCGTACGCCATGAACATGTCCTGGGAAGAAAAAGTATGGTGAAAAAAATCCACACTGAAAATGTATTTATGAAATTACCTAACATTCCGTTTTATAATCGTGAACACGAAGTCGAACTTCGAGTTGTCAATTCTCACTATTCCAGCAATGAACTAAATCAATACAGCTCCTGTAAAAACAGAATCTGCAACTTGAACTTGTTAAATTCCTATCAATAAATAAAATATAGTTTGTAAGAAATGCCATAGATTTAAGATAACATAATTATCTTAATATGTTCAGATACATAAATTTTTGCAAACATTTGATATGTTATTATTACAATTACTTTCGTTATAGAATATTCAAACCAGCCACTCATGGTTGTCCTTCCTACTTATAATGAATGAAAGAAATTTATTCTATTTACTTTGTGCTACAGACCAGGAATGAATTGACTGGGCTGAATGACATGAATTTCTTGCTCAAACGCTACATCTACGAGATTTTCTTCAATGCTTTATAAAGGCGCGAGAATATTTACCCAAAACCTCATTGCGAAAATTTTAGCATCCCCAATCACCAATTTCTTACGATGATAATAATCTTATGATGATAAGAATAATCATAATTATGATGAAAATAATCATAAACAAATTAATGATATCATAATCTTATTATGATCATCAGGTATAGTCCAAAGTCGATTTAGAAATGGTTCCATTAATTCTTAACGGATTCTTGAACTTAGATTGGCAATACGTGTTTATAGATTCAATTGATCTGGTATTATTTAATACATGAATAATATTGAAAGTTCATGCTTCGAATCTTGAAACATGAAGAGTTTTTTGGCGATAACAGATCCTAACTCGAGATCGGAAATATCATAATTACAATTTATCTTTGTCTCACATTAACCTGATGTCACCAATCATGGGTGGCAATATCTTCAGTTTAAATCCATGAGATGTGCAATGACTCATTCAGAAACTTTTAGTAATGGACAGAAAAATAAAATCAAGCACCTGGTAATAAGGGTAATCGTCTTCAGGAGTTTTCGAAGCAGTTGTGATTACACCGACTCTTGCAACGCCTTCGCCCCCCTGTAAAAGCATGGGATTTACAGATCTACAAAGAATGAAATGTCGCATCAATACCAAATAATATTTCAGAATTAAATACATAATTTAGATATGAATGTAGCATTATTAGTAATCTTTGATGATATTTTATCTATTTTTTAATATTCTCACCGCGAGTTCGACGAACCGACTCCACACGGCCGCATTCTCATCCGTGAGACCTCCGCCCACCAGCATGACATTACCTCCGTGTACGGTGCTTATGATTGCCCATAGTTGCAGGCATACAGCGAGCGTGTGTACTAGCTTCATGTTAATAAAATTAAACTCTTAAGCTTGACTTTGACGTTTTTTTTTCAAGAAATTTTGTATAAAATAAGAACTTTAGTATCAAGGAACTATCGTTTCAGAGTCCATCTCCACCCATATATTGTTCAAAATATTGGAATACAAAAAAACAATTAGTAAACTAAAATTCACGAGGGAAATGTCAAATTATAAACATGAATTGAAAAACAAATAGAGATGAAACAAACATGAAGAAACAGACCCATCAGTCAACGATTTCAAGAGGATAGAACTGAAGGCGGCATTTAAACTATAGTCATCTGCTAAAATATATACAGGGATTATTGAATTTTCTTGTTAGAAACATCGGTTGTATTACTTGCTAAAATTCCAGAATCAAAATCAGATACCGGAATATTGTACTGATCGTCATAAATGAGAGGGATGAGTAAGTAAATTTACTGTTAATTTACTAATTTAGTTCTAGGTTAGAGAGTTTTTGTACTTGTGTTCTAAGATTTTGAACTGACAATGGAACTGGACGTTTCTCTCTTTTACGTTTTTTCTTATAAAGAAGTAGTGAATTCTTGGCCATTTTCCTTGCTTTTAAATTCTTAGAAAATTTGTGATATAAGCATGATATGATGACGATATTTTTGACTGTTTATATAATAACCTCAACGTCCTCTTTAAATTCGCAATTAATATTAATTCATTAGCACCAAGTTGCATATTACTACTATTACTCGTACTGGAATTAAATTCAATTGTGATTAGTGAAGTTGCAACGATAGTGGCTTGCAGATGTTTGTGATGTGTTTTGTTTTTCTTGCCAAACTGATTTCGAAAGAATAGAAATAATTTGGGCAACTGTCACAGAGGCTTGTGAACGCCTTGATTGGCTGTCTTTTATATACTGGCCTTGGAGGCCAGCTGATATTTTTCGTTGTTTGAAAATCTATTATTTAATCAGAACTGTGGGAAAAGTATTTTATCTGCAAAAACTGTGGATCGTATTACTTGCAAATAAATGCATATTATTATTTATTAATATCATTATTCACTAATATTATTTATAGTATTATAGATATTTTTTCATATTGTTATTTGCAAATTGCTATGGTTTCATATACGAAAAATTTAAGCTTAGATTTTAATCCGACAGTGAATGTTTAGATTCTGGCGCGAATAAAAATTTGCGTGCTTAAAAAAATTACAGTGAAAAAATAATCACGGGTAGGTACATTTTGATTGTTTGAGGATGAATGAGAGTTGTTAATTTAATGAAGAACTTTTTCAATTGCGTTCAAAAATGGAAGTAACAAATTTGTGCCGGAAATCAATCTACTATTGCAAAAACCCTGACAGAACTTTAAGAGTAAATATTTTTCATGTTATCAAATGAATTATAAAAGACTAGGTTTGGTCTAGACTCTAGAAGATGAAAGTCATCATGTTCGGGAAAAAACTTCACCAATGCAGCTGTGCCGAAAGGTTTCCTTTATCATGATACTCTATCAATGATAAGTTATCAGAAGGCAAACATTCCATGCGATTGGCACAATGGATTAAATTTGTTAAATTTATATCCCAATGCATGTTTAGATTGAGAAAAAGATACCTAAACATTATTAATTCGACTTTCATATTTTCTTCGATATGAGATCAGGAGATTTTATCAGCAAACACTAAAATTCTTTTATGCTGCCAGAACTATTGAATTTTAAATTTCCTATAATATTTTATTTGCACAATGGGATATTTTAACATTGCTTGAAATATATAAAATAACGATGCATCGATGTCATACTTGTGTTGAGTTCACCAAAAACTGCAGCCTAATCTTTTATCAAGTTTTCAAATCAGAAAAACATATCTGTGGACATTTTGGCCAGAGCGGCACATCATCGTCTCACACTCTGTAAATCAACAGCATTGTTAGCTAACTAATAGTATGCTAGATAAATGATGGTCAATATTCATTTTCTAGTTTCCGTGTACACGAAAGTGAATCCGTACATATAAATGGGATATAATAAATGTTGATGATGGCGAAGGGTTACGAAATATTAATCATAAGTAGTGTTAGCGAGACGCTGGAGAGAACGATAAACCGATATAGAAATCATATAATCCATCAAATTACGGTGTTTCGTGCATTAATTCTTTGATTTGATGATGAAATTACAACTTTCCAACAATAGTTTGGTTGTTGGTTATTTCACAATTTCATTTAGTGCTTCGTGCTTCGTTTGATAACAGGGAAGTTTTTCCCAGTTCATGAGGATTGTGTGAATAATATGTGTCAAGAATTGTAAATAGCATAATTTGAACATAACAGATTAGCAAAAGGCTCAAATACTTGTACTGAATAGTAGAAAAGTCACATTCTAACTGGTGAACAATTTTGAGTGAAGTTAGGACAAAGTAATATCGAAGCTTTTTTAATACATAATTTTTAATCACACACGAGTCGAACTTTCCGTTTAAACTAGACGAATCTGGATATTTTTGTTATGTTCAAAAGCCCAGCCCATATGACACACTGCTGAAAGCAAGGAGGGTAAACATAGAACTATTATTATGGGAAAAATAAATCAGGTTAACTCGTGAATATAATCTTGTAAATCAGAATAAAATGCTCTTTATATGTATGAAGGCTAATTAGAACTTTTGAGTCGTAAAGAACATTAATTAACCTCCTTTCAATAGAAAAACAGCGACCTAGCTACTTGAAGATGTCTTCAGTTCTTTGAAATATTGACGCAATAAATCGTCAAAGTATTTCCACTAGCTTGTCATTTTTCAAACAAATCCTGAAATAAAAACTAAATAGATCCTTTACATAGATCCTCACGCCTAGAACTCCAGTGAGCATTATCATCCAAACTGTAAAATGAACAAAATCTTCGTTGAACGTTCCATGAAGATTTTAAATCAATAAAAAAACTCTTTATTTAAATGGGAATAAACACCGATAACCATACGAAATGAAAGTCCTACTGTTAATACAGTTAGAGATCAGGATAGTGTCATTCACGGAAAGTAGACACACTTATTATTACGCTGACGCGTTTGTGAGTCACACATTTATCATCAAAATGGATGCATTCAATGCATAAATTACGAAGTGCACACTCTAGCTTTATATGACTTTCAAATAAATAATTATGAAGAAATTATGACCTAAGTTATGTAGATTACGGCCGTCGAATGTAGAGCGATTCTCGATAGATAGGGATGACGTGGCCCCGAATGTCAACGTATTTCTGTGAATAAACATAAATTAACGAAAAATGTTTATATTTAAAGCAGAACAAACAGAAGATAATACTTCATATCAGGAATAGAGTGGTTGGAAGCAGGGAATTTCACATTTATTTGGGTCGTTTTTCAAGATTTCGTTGTAGAAAAAGAGCATTAATGAAGGTTTGAGATTAGTGAATAAAGCTGATCTGAAGCTAAATAAGAATTACTGCTGAAATGTAGTCAAGCAAATCATTTTACATGTAATTTTGAATGAAGACCCGCCGACAAAACCCATTCAAAAAGTGAAATCGAACTCACCAAAAAATATAAATTTACCATTATAAATCCAACTTGCAAAAATTCACGTTCTCGAACAAACTACGTTTCATCTTCAACAAAGTTAAAACTTTGCTAACAAAAATTTAAATGATTTATAGCAAAACATGCTCTCATGATGAAAATTTTCTCCAGGCAATTAAAACAAATTTAAACTAAAAAGTCATTAAATCTGTGAAATTTATACAATTTCTACGTAATTTTTGCAACGATAGTTTCGAGTGAAATGAAATTATTATTTGTATTTTCAAAAATGCACTTGCAACATTCAGAAAATCATAGTATGTTGCACTTTAAATAAGTAAATAATTTTAAAAATTTTATGTCTTATAAGACTTGAAAAGATGGTCTATAAAATAGATACGTTTCGTAGCAACAGAGAAAAAGCAATACAAATTTAAACACTATAACATCCTTTAAATGACCCTTGTATTGATAAATATCAATTTTATTTACAAAGTATACGTCTTAGTGATGAAAGCTTGAATGCGGCCAAGCAAGAAAAACATGAAGAAATTTTTTCCTTATATTGCAGCCCAATTCAAAATTAAAAAATAATAATTCACCGCTTGAATTCCATTGAAAAATACTAAATCATTGAAATTCATAGAGCGAAGTTCAAAACTTAATCACTGTTAACTTTCGTACCTGGGAGAATTGGTTGAGGAAAGTGTGTACGAGACGGAAACCCAGCCCGTGGAGGCTGTCCAGAACAGACTCATAATATTGACCAGCCTGGACCCTTACAGACTCTGTGTCATTGAGCAGTTTCTCGAGGTGAATCTGAAACACAAATCATGCAATACGTATAATTGAAAAAAAAATAAATTTGATGCGGGGCAATAGTATTGATGGCTAATAATTTAATCTATACAAAAACGGAATAATTGATAATGATAACGAAAATAGATATATTTCGCTAAACATTTAATTAGGAAATTAGTGTTTTTTTTAAATAACCTGAAAATTTTCCCTGAGTCAATTTAAAAAAAAAATCATTTACATCGTAGAAAACATTTCAACGGTGATTAGAAAATAAAAATTATTTCAAATTCACCTCTAACTGCATCTGGTTCACACGAGACAGAAGTCGCCGTCCTTCCTCATGCTGAAGTAGTTGGTCAAATATCTTCCATTCGTTATCCTCAACGTCCAGCTAATCGGAGGTTGATAAGGGAAAGGGTAAAATAAGTCAACCTCAAAACAAAACAATCGAACGAAATTATAGTAAAAAATAATTTGAACGCTCAGACCATTTTTTCAACGGAGTTTATAAGTTGTGGTCACAAAAATTTAACAATGCGTTAAAAAATTCCAGCAAACGTCTACTGATGCTAAGTAGACTCGGAATCTATGCTGTAAGCGCGGCATACCACGATTAAAAAATTAATAAGTGTGTTATTTCACGAGCCCAATTTAGATATAATTTTATTGAAAAATACCTTTTTCAACCTTGTTCTAGCTAACAATTGATATGTTAATGAATAAACCGATATTGATGCCGCCGGTTTTATTAAAATCAGTTTAAAATGAGACTCGCATTCCATTCACATGTCAAATTAAAAATAATTTCATTACTGTCACTCGAGTTTTAATTGTGAAAGTTAACTCAGCATCATAATCCGGACAATGTTCGCTATCACCACCGCACAATAACTCTCTCATAAAAGATAATGCAATATTAGCAGCGTAAAGTATAAGGAAGTAAATTACTTTCAGGATGTCGATCGTTGAATCGCTTCTGTCGAAAATTTCTTGGATTTCTTCCAAGGTCCTCAGGGTAGCAACGATGGTGTTCCCCGATGGTCGCATAGTCATGTCTAACTGTTGCAAGATAATTGTATATTTTAACAGTAAATTAATAATTAGAGTGTGTTCCTTAATGCTAAGATGTTCAACCGTTTTAAGGAGACTGAATGCTTCAATAAGATCTATTTTCAAGGGACATTTAAGGTATGAAAATTGTTCGTTTTAGAGGAGAATAAATAATAACAATAGCAATTTACGACTCAACGATGACGTCAACGTCAACGACTCGGTCCTGATATATATTAAGCGTCATTGAAGTTTCATTTGGTACGTATCGTGTGCCACTATGCATATGAATTTTAAGCATAGATTGTATTATGAATCAGATGAACACGTCATAAATTAAGTATAGGTATGAAGTTGTGGACCAAAAATGGTAACGTTCCGAAAGTGAAATATTTCATGATTATTCATCTGTGTTTTTGTGCAGAGTCTAACAAATTTATGGGCCGATTATCTCATTATCCTTTGCCTATGTCGCTTAGGTTCCTTAACTTAAAACTTGTTCAAGATAAAGACCCGCCGTACGACATAACCTTGCTTGCTAGTTAATTAGTGAGTCTTGTTAAGTGTTAATACGTAATACTTAACCAGACTCACATGTTAAGTGTTAAGTGTTATTATTAAGTGTTAATAATACTTAACAAGACTAATAATATCGTCATACTGTGTATACATTACCCTTCGTACATTATATCATCACTGTCATAGTATCAGTGTAGTGAAATTATAACTCTCTTCGATAGCATGGATAAGAAAAGTGGCATTTACTTCAGTCGATAACCTTATCGAATACAGGTATGTGAATTTCACAATTTTCATATTTCATAATGGAGGAAACACAAAAGTTTACATAATTTTATAATCATCAATTTTATTGAACTTCTATTATGCGAATTATGATTTAATTAAAAAAATACTCGCTTGGAAGAATATTGACGCACGGCAAATCTCCCTCAAAAATGAAATACAAAACAAAATATTTCCATGAATTACATACAAAAAAAGTGAACAGGACTCACCACCACAGACTCGTTGCTTATTCCTAAAGTGAGGAAATTCCAGCTGGGAGTGACGTGAGTGTTGGTGCTGTTCACGATGGTCATGTCGAAGGAGAAAACTTTACAGCCGAAATGTTGCAAGGCGTAATCGAATGTTGTGTCTGATCCAATACCGAACGAGTAAACATTGCATAATTTATCCATCGGGCGTGAAGGAAGAAAATGTATATAGGAATTACGAGTATAATTTATATTCGTTTTCGGTGGTTTTTTAAAAAGGGTATCAAATTTGGGTTCCTTATTTGGTATTCGGTCATTTTTAGTCCTGCTTGTTTTATTTAGGTGTTGCTGATTACTTGTGTTTTGCAAATTTTCGATATTAAATTCGGGACTTGTGATTCTAAACATGGGATAATCTTCTTTTTTGTGTTCAGTATCAAAATTTTGGCTGTAGATTTCCCAGAAAACCTCTTCGCTGTCGCTCATTGGTTTTGTCAACGCCACGGCGGGCGCCGATTCATTTATTGTAAAGCTTTCAAGAATTATTTTATTTGCAATAATGTATGGCTTCGGCGCGACGTCTGGGTCAAAGCATACGAATTTATGACCATCCATGGCACCACAGCTCAAGCTTCCTCCCATCCTCAAAAGTCTACGGCATCTAGTGCCAGGTTTGGAAATTTTGTTCATCAGATTCTCTGGATTCCATGAATAGTTGCTGACGTCCTGGAAAAATAAATTAATGATTAATGAATAGATAAAAAAGAGTATCACTTTGAAAATTTGGCATTTTTTAATAATCTTTTTTCTTACGAAATCAATGCAGTTTAACATATCAAAGCAATAGACATACGTAGATACGGGAGACTTTTACATTACACGATATTAGTAGTTTATTCAACCAATCGTTCATATAATGAAAATTATTATAAGCAGAGACATACTATAGTTAATTTTAAATAATATTTCAGTACAGCTGAAACATATATTGTTAAAATAGAGTTATTCGATCGTACCATGTCATTTTTATTTCTACCGGGTTTAGCCTTATTAGTTATGTTGCTAATGTACGATAATCAATAACACATCTTTTATGTACTTAAATTTGCTGAAAAAATTTCGACGAAAGTTTCGACTTACTAATTGATTTTTAAGGAATGATTTCATTTTAATCACTTGAACAAATAGCATCCTGAATCAGACTATCGATCCTACCGGATTCAAAAAATATATTGGACATAGAGGGACGTATTAATAGCATGGGTTTTCTTTCGATTATGAAAAGAAAGTCCGTACGATAACTCCGGTATTCTAAAAAATTATCAGCCAATTGTTTTCTTCACGTATGAAACGTTGTTCTTCTAAGATATTCCACAGGAGGAAATTAAAAAAAGTAAACCGCATGCTAACTTGCTATCTTAAAACGTAAATTTTTAACCTCATTACCAACAATGCACGAAACTTCAGAACTATTGTGGATAAATCATCCGTTAATTACCTGTATTTTGGCAGTAAAGTTTTTTCTCGAAGGTGGTAGAATTATGAGAGGCTCTCCAATTGTTGAGATCGCATACCGCACGTCGGAGACTGAATGTTTCCAAACATGAATTTGTTTGCGTTGTTCACGACTGGAAATCGTTTTTAATCGATAATTTTCATCTTTCTGGTCATTAATTCCCGTTTCGGTAACTAGGGAATATTTATTGGAACCTGTAGCGCTGATAGTGGAGTATTCGCTGGAATGTACGACGCCATTACGCAAAATTTCTTCAGAATTTTTATATACATCAGAGATTATTTTTGACTGAAGTTTATGAGAATTATTTCGTGCTGAAAGGATTTTAAATAAACTATGCGTTTTCTCACCTAAATTAAAATTTTCACGGGAATTGCTGTTCACCGAAAAAAATTTATTGGGTCTATTATTACTGAAATTAATAAATTGTAAAAGCAAAATCGCCCATGCACAGGTCAGTAAAAATAATATTCTAATGAAATATATTAATAATTTACCATGGCCTGCCATTTAATTGAATTTTCGTTCAAGGCTCTTTCGTGGAACGGATTATCAACAATTCAAATTAATACGGATTTGAGAAAGTTTTGATCGCATATAATCAAAGTGTTAGATCAATTGCTTAAAACGAATGCTGTAAAAAAATTTAAAAGCGATTATTGCCACTAATGATAATATTGAAAAGATAAGAAAATTCAGACAAGACAGTTTTGCTTTATTTGTTAAATGCCAATTATCTACTCATGACAAATTAACTGAAATAAACACCAATTGCGTTTTCCACTAATTACTAAATGAATTCACTGGCTCAATTATCACTAAGCTTTCAGGGCAGATTAAATCCGTAAATTTTCCATGGCTTTTATTTAAATAAATTTAGGAGACTGACTTGTTGCCAAAATAATACATATAGAATCTTGAGTGTTAATCCTCCATGTATTTATATGATTCCTTGGTATACGAAATGCAATGGTTCTATTATTCAATGTACGGATCCTAAAATCATGGATCCATGTACGCATCCTAAAAATTCGTTTCCTGAGATAATTCTCAGGAAATTATGGTGCCTTAACCAATTATGACCCTTGATCAATTAAGCCTTGGAGTCCTATTCTTAGTCAATTTAAAAAATAAATTCACAAAATTTATTTTCAAACACTTCATCTTGATTAACTTTCAAAACACTTGATCTAAAATTCGTCGGAGATTCTTAAGGTAGAACTATTCCTGATCACAGCAAATCCTCGAGCGATTGCACATGTGTCTCAGAAATGCATGTTTTGCCTTTCACTTTATTTTCTCATCTCAAATCAGTCCTGTTAATTTGTTGCTCACGATATGTTTGAAAATAATATATATATATTTGCATTTATTTAAGCAGAGTTTTTTGTTTCACACAACCACACCGTATATCAAGTTAGCAATGGTAATTTTTTCACTCCAACGGGTCATTATTGTATGATGTAAACTTGTAAAGCCACCGGCATCGTCAGTAGACCGGATCTCTAAACTGAAATATTGTTCACTTACAATGCTGAGACCGATAATTATTCATTTATCGTACCTTTTGCTTTGTATATTACACTTAGTGTGAATATGACGTAGGAATTCTATTATATATGACCCTGAAATTCTAATTCTTTCTTTCCTGCTAGTATACAGATCTTATTCCAATCAAAATAAAATAGAATTCAATGATGAGAGATGCTTTTTGTTCACGAAATGTAAATAATGACTTTAATCACAACGTTAAGTATCGTTACATGAGTGTGAATAAAGAAGTTTGTTCTGCGTTTTTTTCGTAAGCTAAATACAGGCACGCACATACGAGGAAAGCAAATTCAATGACACTATCCTACACAGAACGATGCCATGCGCTGGCGACTTGATAGTCTACAGGAAAACTCGATAAAAATTAGAGGTTTTCTTATAGTTTTTCCGGTAAAATCCTGTTTTAAAAATCAACCAACGTTTAATTTTTGAAGTGCTTCAACCGTCCAGTGCGCGATGTTAATGCTCGAAGAAAAATATTAGAGGTTATTTATCAAAGAATTTTATAAGCGAAGAATTTAATCGCCGATTTTTCAAATTTGCTCACTCATTGGCCTCGTTAGTGACAATAGAAGTTACATAGGCGCTCCATGCCAATAATGAATAAAATTAAAATGTTCTATTATAACACATTGACATAACTTTTTATGACATAACGTAACTTTTATTGCCTCGTGATAATAAAAGTTACCTAGACGCTCCATTCCAACAACGAATAATTTTTAAATGTTCTATTATACCACATTCCTATTAGCAACTGGGCGTTTAAGAACAATTAGCACTTGAATTTAAATATTGACTTTAAATGATATACGATGTCCTCATTCCCTTGGTCATTAGGTTGCTCATGTCCCATGAGTAAGAACTGCTCTGTTAAGTCTGCAGGTTCAAGAAGTGCTTCTGCTCTGCGCACATGTACTCTGTTGTTTGCTGCTCTGCAGAGACTGAAAGTCTGGGAATTGCTCCTGCCTTGTCTTGGTTTATAATGTGTGCTTATACTTGTTCTGCAAGCATCACTCTGTTGTTTCATATTCTGTAAACTCTGCAGGACTGAATTTGCGGCACGTCTCCAGTTCTGTAGTTACGGACTTAGAACATACAGAGATTCTCTGTATATCGGAATAAGCTTGCCCCTCACGTTCGCGTAGTACTGTATGAGATCAAAAGACGGAATTACTTGGGGGAGTAAAATAATGAAGAAAATTATTATATATGAATCCTTATATGAGAATTTCCGTACGTGGCACATTCTGTCAAATGAACTTTTCATCTAATGGTATGCATGTTTTTGAAATAAGTTTACAATCAATAAGTACACAGAGTTGTGGGGAAGAAAAATGGTTGAAAAATGGTGTTAGTTCCGAGAGGAGTTCAACAAAAATTCAAACGTTTCAAGTGTCCTGAGAAGAACAAAAAAAAGATAAAAAGACTTGTTGTTGCACAGTTTTCTGACGAAGTCAATTCCCACAGAAAAGCTCACTGGCAAAGTTTACTAATTGAGTTTACTTTATGAAGTCCTTGAATAAACCGTTAACTGAATAATTGAAGGGGAAATAAGTGGATGTTACAACCCGCAAGAAGGGGTTGAATTAATTTATCTTGAAATCTGCCACAAAAATTTGAACAAGCTTAATATTTTGCCACGCTACAAACATGTTATGCAACATTCCAAACAATATTGCATCTGCATTAAAAAGTCGGGACAGTTAAATATTACTACTTAATTGCTACAAATCGTTGAATCCATTGAATGTTCAAATCTTACCTGAGAAAATTCGTTGATGAAAGTATGAACGAGAACAAATCCAATTTCGCGAAGGCCGTCTAAGACAGATTCGTAATATTTTCCTGCTTCAATCCTGCCGGATTCTGAGTCATTGAGTAAATCCTCCAGGTGAATCTGAAATGATATTTCAAAACAAAACACATCGAATCTAAGACTTATTAAACAGTTATAGCTGATGCAAAATATATTATTTCAGCTAATCTATAGACAATAATCAACTTTTCGCAATTCATTCGAATAATATCCTATATTTTCTAATTAAATGTAATTATTTGTTTTCATTTTGCAATGCCAGATGAACAGGTAATTAGATCATCATTTGATCATCTCGTTCATCTGATTTGTATTCCTATTTATCAGTATATATGATAAGTATGATTATTTATGTACGTATGATTGTAATAGAAGTCGTTATGCATTCACCTCTAAGTGCATTTGTTTGACACGGGATAAAAGTTTTCTCCCATCTTCTTGCCGCAGTAACTGACGTAAAATTTCCCATTCGGAATTCTCTACGTCCATCTGATAGATTTAAAATAATTATTTCGTTGAAATTGACCTCCCACTTCTGTGTGATGTGGTAGTTCGGTAGGTTTCAGTATTTAATGTTAGCGATGTGGTTTCTGTTTATTTCCACAGGTGTAAACATCCAGTAAAAATTTAAATAGTATGATGAAAACTACCGCAAAAAATGTATCACGTCATCGTGACAGCGACCGTATTTATATATTTTTGAATTTAATTCAACGGAGTGGATACTGGGTGAAATTTATTATTTCACGAATGAATTCAGATCTAGCCAATCAAATAAATAAATTTTATCTATTCATTTATTTCGGAAGGACACAAAATATGTGAAAAAATAATAAGGAATTCAAATATTCAATATTCACACAAGCTTCAAAACTACATTGATTATCTCAGACGTAACTAAAAATTCACCTTTAGAATGTCGATAACCGAATTTTCTTGGTCAAAAATTTCTAAGATGTCTTGCATTGTTTTAAAAGTAACATCGATAGGATTTCTCACCGGTAGTAAGATGACGGTTCTCTGAAAATACAAAGATTATAATCTTTTAAAATGATTGTACTCTAATATATACTGATACATATATACATATGTATATAGGTATAGGCATATATTACATATGTATATATGTGTCTATATACATAATTAAATAATTCATGCAAATTTATTATTATATGCAATAAATAGAACGTCAGGTCGATAGAAGCGGAAAGAAATAAACTTGATTGTCTATCTGGATGTATGATTTGACTTGCAAAACTGAAGGATAACGAGTGACATCAGAATAATGAATCGAATTTGCTTTGACTGGCAAGAACGATATTTATAATTAAATTACAGATGGTCTAAAATTAGAAAAAAAATGTTGGAGTGGTGAATAGTTTCAAGAAGAAAATTTAAAACTCACGATCAAAGATTTCGAGTTTATCCCAACAGGAAAAAAATTCCAGTTGGGGCTAATTGATGTACTGGTGCTATTCACGATGGTCATATCAAAAGAATAAACTTTACATCCAAAATTCTGCATTGCAGAGTCGAATGTTGTGTCGTTCCCAATTCCAAATGAATATGTGTGACATTGGTGATCCTTTGAACGCAATAAATTCAAATCTATGTAAGAACCACGATCAGATTTAATGTTGATCTGATTAGGCTCATCAAAGAGCTTTGGAAACGAATAATCTTTCTCACATGTATTTCCATTTTCTAAAGTACTTATACTGCATGAATAAAATTCTTCGGAATCGGTATTGGACTTTGCAGAGGCTGATTCAGAATTTTTCTTCAGCAGGTATTTATTTTCGGAAGTTGTATTCGATACGCGATACTCATCAGGGCAGAACAAATTTTCGAGTAAGCTCTTATTAATGACGGGGACTGGCTTCGGTGCTACGTCAGGATCGAAACAAACAAATTTGTGTCCGTCCATTGCAGAGAGATGCATGCCGCCCCCAATACGTAAAAGTCTGCGGCAGCTTCTCTCCGGTTTTGATAGTTTCTCGATCAGGTCATCCGGACTCCATGCAGAATAATCAACGTCCTGCGAAAAAATAACTATAAGTAACTGATGTCATTGTGAAAAAAACGAAATTTTCATTAAATATTCATAGTATAAATCGAATACAACAGCCAATAATGCTTTAAGATATTATGGTTTCGACTATAATAGCATGTAATAATAAATAATAATAAATATATATAATAATTTAATTAAAGCTGCTGGTGCACAGGTGTAAAGGAAATTCAAAGCCTATCAGCAGCACATGAGGTATTAAATGTTATTCATAGTATCAAAATCATCAATAACACTGACGATTTAATACGTTAACGCTCGCTAACGGCTTTAGCCGTTGTGTTGCATTTGCACAAAATGCACAACCTCAATTTTCTAACTTGTACTGGAAAAAACAAAGTAATTTTCTATGAACGTGTATATACGTTTTAAAAGAATATACTTGCACTATGAGAAGTGTTGACGTCTACAGACGTCTATATATATATACAATAAATATATTCACTCGTATAAATATGCCCATATATAATTAATTTTATTTATTCGTATTTATTTAAGTTCGTATTTATTCATAGATCGTCAATTCCAAGTGGAAATGAATGAAGATCTGGCATATAGATCATTTATAACAACTCTGAATCTTTCTCTTTCCATTGTTGTATAAATTATTCATTTTAAGTTTATACATATATAGATCATTTATAAATATGTACAACTCTGAATCTTTCTCTTTCCATTGTTGTATAAATTATTCATTTTAAGTTTATATTTAAATAAATACGAATTTATTAAATTTGGTCCTTCATTTAAAATAATCCTGTACAGCAATTTGAAATTCAACTCTTTTTTCAAAATCAACACTACCTGGATTTTGGCAGTGAAATTGTCTTCGGACACGGGCACGACAACGGTTTGGTCATCGATGGTATAATTTAACACGTATTGTATAATCTCAGGAGTATAATCCCATACAACTTTTTCATTAGTTATTAAGTTCCCATAAATATTTGTTAGCACTTTTTGGTTGAGATTATTCTTGTTTTTCGGAGAAGCATTTAAATAATTTTCTGTGGGTTTTTTCTCATGATAATCGTCGTAAAGAATTTTTTCAGAATCACCGGCACTGTTAATATATAATATCATGAAAATAACCCATGTATGGCCCAAAAAAATAAAAAATAGTACGAAAGGTACAAATTTTCTCGAACTGATATGCCTAGCCATCGCTGAAAGGAAAAATGCATTTGCTTACACCAAATTCTTCTTCAAGACAGTGATATAAAATTGCCAAAAAGCATTGTACATCAGTTTATTTGCATAGAGCTAAAGCTTTTTCATCATTATATTACCCAACCAATTATATTACCCAAACCAATCGTACGAGTATGTACGAGTAGTAATAATAATGAAAAATAATAACAACAATAATTTAGATTCAAAAATGAAACGCACGAACATATCTCTTTAAACGACACGCTCATTTACTAGGAAGAATTTTCAACTTTAAACATTAATGCAAATAATTTATCTTTCCGCAACGTTGACTAAATTCATATATGCAAAAAATAAACTGAGAACTCCTCCTTAAGACTCAAATGCTATATTTAATCAGATTAACTCAGCACTAACCGCGTTCGATAATTGCTGCAGATCAAGAAACCAATTCGCATGCATCATTTACAAATAATATTGAACTCCCATTTAACTCACGTTTCAAAGTATAGATTCTTCTTAAAGACAATTATATACAAGAACTATTACCCATTGTTCACGCAGTTTATCTGATGATGGGGCATTTTAATCATATTATTACAGTATCATTATTACAAAAGATTTCTAATTTTACTACGGGGTTATTATTACTGCAAGTAGATTACTCTTGCAGTAATACTGATTAGTACGGCTGGATACAGAAGCAAGTTTAATAACAATAATTTAATACCACTATAGTATTACATGACTTTTTAGTAATTTTATCAAGTAAAGAGGAATTGCTAGCTGTTGAGAAGCAAAAGAGATGGCGGTATATTCTAAATATCATTACAGTTGCGCTCCTGAGATAACATTACATAAAATATGCAAATACTATTCTTCGTTTTAATCAATAATCTGTTTTTGTTCACTTAATAAAATTAATACACTGGAAAATCGTGTCCGAACTGAAAACCGCACATAATAAAACGAGAACACATCAAAACTCAATTTAGGTAATACTAAAATCGCTAATAAATAGTGTACATCGACAAAAAATAATTCGAACAGCAAATTTTTTTTCTTATTATGTCATACAGCACTATAAATGCACTTATTAAATATATAACTATATTTTTGATTATCAACATGCGCCTGCATGGTTGGCAAGACGATTCCAATAGGCACATGCGATTCGGGCAAACGAGATTAAAGCAATTTTGTCGAGGAAAAGTGGGTTCAATTTTATCGAGGAAATGTTAATTCAATTGTTTTTTCTACAAAACTAGAAAAAATTAACTTTATCGATCGTTTTTTCCTAGACTACGATATTGCATGCCAGATTAACTTAATAAATCCTGTTTTAACGACGTTTCGCGTCAAATTGAAGAATGTTTTCTTTGGTATTTAAACTCGCTCAAATAACGTGGGATTTTCAAATCAGTGAGAGTGAAATAATTTTCCCTTTAAATTCTCTAGCAGTTATTGGTGAAACATATTTTAATATATCTAACCTGCAGGCAAGCGTCGCGATAAGACTTTACTTCGATATAAATAATGTATTGTTTTTAGTGTCTGTAAATCAATTATTTCAGAACTAACCGTAAAGACACCAGGTTCAAAACAGTCTCCTTTTTAGCTAGTGAAAGTCAATATATTTATGAATTTTCAATCCTGGAAACTTTAAGATAAAGGATAATAAAACTAAATCGTTCATTGCTTTGTAAAACTTTGTAGTGAAACTTACAAGTTGTAAACAACTTTATTGAGGTCGCACAGTCTTGGTGATGACATGAGGAATTGATGTTCTAAAGTTATGTTATTTTCGAGAAGAATTATCTCGGAAAATAAATTCATATTTTTCCACAGTTGATGACTCCACAACTAATAAAATAAAGTTAAATTCGACCCACTATGTTTTCGAACAACAGCTTCGGTCGAAAAAAAAACTGAACATCATACATTGTATTTTTATATCAAAATATTATTAGGCTAAATTACCATTGCACCTTCAACACATAATAAATTAAATGACTTTATTCATGTTGAGAATAAAGGAATCGATTTCTAAATTATATTCAAGGTTAATGCAGCAAAGAATTAAAAAAAGGTTTGCAGTTAGAACTCTGAAATTAGAAATTAGTTTATGTGAACTGAAACAAATTAGAACTCTGAACTCTGAAACAAATTTACGCTATACAGAAACTCTGATATTTACGAACTCTGAAAAAAATTTACGTTATACGGCAGGAATTATAGGTGGAATTAAGATGAATATTCGTTGTATTTAAATCTGTTATGTGGTTGAATATTATGTTTGACGTTCAAATTCCGGCAGTGAACCCAAACTACGATTACACGAAGGCCACTATAACCCGTATGCATGTAGAAGAATTATTGGGTAATATTGTTCAAATTGTAACTAACTTCACTGTTAGAAAAAACGGTGAAAAAACGGTCCCACCGGCATCCTAGTGTCCTGTCGCCCCCTGAAAATAAACTGTTTTGCCGTTTTTATCAGATGTCTTACGGATTTCTGGTGTTAAATTGGAATAAAAACGGCTACACGGTGTTTCTTTTCACGTGCCGACCGGCCATTGAAACGCCGGTAATACCGTTAACGGTCATTTTTCTAACAGTGTTTCTGCTGGTTATACGCCCTTATAGCAGGACAAACTGGGTCAGGATGATCCAATCAAGGGTGAAAAGTGCAATATTATTTGGGCAGAGTTCCACTCATTTCTTTGAGTGTACGTACGTATTCAGGAGCTCATACGTTTTATCAATATTTACTGTGCTGGGGCCTTACTTTCAAAACTCGCTTAGTGAACGTAAGTACTTACGCTCTATTTTCTTGTCTGTGATTGGTGGATTTTGCTTGAAAGGCCGTCAATGATTGGCGGATGAACTTACTATATCTTAACTTTTTTTAAAGTATAGGCCATGGTCTGTGAAGGTGTGATATTTTTGTACAGAATCGTAACATGTAGGAATAAATTTCGCTTGTTATACTTTATTATGTTAATATGAGGCGTCATTCTCTTATACACATTCTTTCGTTGCGCACAGGCTGCTAGAACTCTCAACAATCATTAAAACAGTATAAAATTTTTTTAACGCTCCACACATATTTTATTCAAATTTTTTCTTGACGAAGAAACAAAATTTAATTAAAACAATTTTAATACTGCCTTTTATCACGCATTTTTCTAATCTTGTTTGCATTTTTTCACATTCGTTCATGACAATGCAAATGAACTGAGCACGAATATTGCAATTTCGTGAATTGCATTACTAATTGAATATTATTAGCATGAATATCACTTAAAATGACTTTTTTGTTCATTGCTCATTGTAAGCTTTATGACACAGATTTTAAACTATAGGGATGATAAGGGTTAAACATAATAATAATGATAATTATAGTATGCATTGTTCCAAGTAGCACATGAAATTAATTATGTGAGCTAATAACTTTTAACCAAGTGCATGTAAATGTAAGTTGGTTTTTTACATAATTGTGACTAATTTAAGTAAAAGATAATTAAAGTATTCATTTATCGAAAAATGTTAAGTCATCGAAGGTAATTTTTTTGCCGATAATTTTGAGTTTATATTGCACACTATCAACAGTTTTTATCAGTATTATATTGATTACATAATATAGAAAACTGAACGACATCAGATGAAATCTAAAATTGAGAAGAATATTTATGTAATAAATATACAGCAGACAACAAATAGATTAGGTACGTCTTAATTAGCAAGATTTTCTTCATTAGAATTTTTATTTTTAACACAAATTGAATCAGAAAAATTATTAAATGAAAGAAGAATTGATGTGCATGCGAACTGTCAGATAACATTTCAACGGGCTCTATCGAACTTGAACAATGCATTAAAAGAAGTGTAGTCAAAAGTAAAAAATATTTTAAATGTCTGAAGTGATGCATGAAATTTTCTTTTAGAGGCTTCCATGAAGTTCCAAAGAAAGTATATTGTATATGAAAGTATATTGTATATGAAGTTTCATGAAACAAGCTTTTTTGAGAAAGAATTAGTTTTTTCTTTAAAATGTAGTGAAGTTTCACAGGCAAGATGAATTTGAGCGTTGCAATAAATGTTACAAGGGACAGTTCACAATAATTTTATAATGGCGACTTGATTGCCAAAACAATACATGATGTCCGTCATTGACATGTTAACCGAATCTCGAATCATGCTGAAATCGTTAAGAGATCCATTTAAGATGGAAGGAAGCATAGTGAGGGTTAAGAAATTTAGAGTTACTTTGAAATAAAACTGGTTCTCAAATTGGTAAGTGTTGGATTGAGACGTAACACTGTTTATATTACTCCAATGTCATCCGCAGAGATAGAAATCATGGCATCAAGCATGGTCAGTTGAATGAAAAAAAAAATTATTTTCGGATTGAAAATTAAAATGTATGACTCGCTGGTCTTCTCATTCGAAAATTATTAATGAATAGACGATGGCCTTGCGCGGAAAATAAGATAATAGCGGTAATGTATCGGCATAAATCATATGCCACAGGCAAACATGAAGTTTTCTGTTTCCTGTGTTGTAAATAATCATTAATAATCAAGAACGTTCATAATGGCCCCAGTCGAAAATGGAAATATCAGTTATAAAATTCCACATTCAAGGGCGATCTATGACTTAATTAACATGTTTTCATTATATTTCGATTTATGGTAAAACTTTTATCATTCAACGATTAGCAATCGTCAAAAACTTACCTTGTGAATCATTTACCAATGTGGTGAAATACCAACAACATCAGTAATTCATTAAAATAACTTGTGTAGAGGCAGTAGTGGCAATACTTGCCCTCTTAAATATGACAAAAATATTGTTACTGATTCTCAGTAATCAAAGTGAACTTACCTGAATAATTCCACGCTTAATAAATTCGTACATCTGAGTACATCTGCCTTGCTGATTCTATTGTCACGTTGAACCATTATTCCGAATTCAACCTACTTCGCATATTGCAAAATTATCAGTTACAATTAATTGTTTTGAATTTTATACCAGGAATGAAAATCCACCGATCGACCTACATAAAATATCAAAGGCAATAGGATATTGTTTGCAAAAAGTGTCGTTGGAAATGTCAACGGAATTGCATCAGCGACCTCCAAATCAAACCAAATTAAGCCAATATGAATACACAGAAAATTCAAAAGATCGAAAGACCAAAATCATCATACATATCATCTTAAAGATACCATTCATCAGATCTTGAAGGATCCATTAATCAGATCTTGGAGAACCCATTCATCAACAGTATATCATCCACACTATCAGAAGTCTGTCAAATTATCATCAAAATACCGAAGATGTCTATAATCAAACCATTGATAGACATTCAACAGACAACGAAACGGTCTTCAGTAGACCCAGGTAACTGGCACCCATTGTGGTTCTGTTGCAAGTCTGTTGAGAGCATCCATGATAAGGTCGAAGGTATCGTTAAGATCGTTGTTGATGATCGTGATGTCGAAATACTTATCGTAGTTGCGTTCCAGACGAGCACTCTCGTCGATAGTTCTTTTAAAATCATCCTCCTGAAATACAATATCATTACCATTAGATAGCAACTAGCTTTATATTTTCTCTCTGAAGTCTTAGTTCAATTTATTTATTTGATCAAAATAAATAAAATTTCGACTTGAAAAAATATTTCCTTATAATTAAAGAGCAATTAACTAAATATTTATTCGTCTTTAGTTTTCGTTAAAATTATAACTACATTGAATTCTTCTATCCTTCGTGTTAGTACGGAATGATAAAAATATGTAGCAGGGACATTCTCATTTGTTAATATTATTGACCATTAGGATGCATACATCGTTTTTAAGGGGTTAATTTCCACCTATTTGGAATCTTTTACTCTATGTCAAATAGTATTTTAGTAACACTATATTATATGTATATTTTAAAATGACTAATATTATCAGGGTCATGTCTCAATCTATTTTCCGCGTGAGTAATTAGCTTTTTAAAAGAAACTTGGGATTTTGTGAACTAGTGATGACGATAATTAGAATAAATATTCGCAAATAAAGTTAAGTACTTATTTACAAATGATTAAGAAACACTAAATTTTATAATCCACAGGTTTTAATAATGTAAGGACTATTATATTCAGAACTTCAATTCTCTAACAACAATATTTTGATAGTATAGAAGCGGGTAATTTATATGACAATAGCAAGACACTCATAAGTAGGAATGCTTAACCCAAAATCATAAGGGATGATTATCAAAAATTGTTACAGCCTTCTTACAATTCAATTATCAAAATAAAAACTTGATTAGTTACACCTGACAGAGAAAAATTAAATTAATAATCATGAATGTGGTGATTATTCTAACCTCATAGAGAGAGGCAAGCGACTCGAGGGTGCGAGCTCTCCGGGAGCTGTAACGGCTGGAGCTTTGCCGATCAAACTGCAAGTAAGAAGCAAAGTCTCAAAATAATCATAAAACATCGTTTAGATTAGAATTTGTACTTAATTTTACCAACATGTTAACTACAATAATCTCTGTTCCAAATCATTCTTACTCAAAATTGAACTTTTCCTTGGAATTAGCATGGGAACATTGTACCAGACAATAATTTGGGTATTCTATCGTGGTAAAGTAAAACGTCCGTTTTGCAATTTGGTCCAGTCTTAAATCAATATATATTTACGCTGCAGGTTTGGGGCAATTTATTTACGTATTGAAATCTTCCAGGTATCTAAAAAATGAAGACAAAGGTGGAATGAACACAAGATAAGTAAGTCAGACGTGTGAGTCCAGCTTTCCATGTAGGCTGCAGTTGCTAGGGCTCTTGAAAGATGATAAGGGCTGTTGGCTGGTGCCAAAGGCTTTTGACGTTAAGAATTCTTTATAATAATTCAGTATAGAAGTGCCACCTTTGATTAGGCCATGCTGGACTGTGGTCAAATTTCAATTATCTGTCAAACTTGCTTATTACGATCGGAATTCTGACAACTTGTTGCGGGTTTTCTAGCCCTCCCCCTCTAGTCAAGTTGTTCTAATTTTTGAGATATTAACACTTGGCCACTCCTACTCTTAGCAGACGCTACAATCCGGCAAATTACGTTGAAAAAACGTTGGTAACTAGTTAATTTATTAGAAACTACGTTGAATCAACCTTATTTCAACGTGAATTTCATAGTGAGTAGGGGTTCCTGGCTGATATTACACACATTAATTAGTCGAAACAACGTTTAATCAACGTTATTTCAGCGTAAATTGCATGGTGAGTGTGGGTTCCTGGCTGATATTACGCACATTATTTAGTCGAAACAACGTTGAATCAACCTTATTTCAACGTGAATTTCATGGTGAGTAGGGGTTCCTAGCTGATATTACGCACATTATTTAGTTGAAACAACGTTGAATCAACCTTATTTCAACGTGAATTTTATGGTGAGTAGTGGTTTCTGGCAGATACTGAACACCCACCGTCATGCTCTTGGCTGAGGAACCGTAGAAGCCTTTCTTCTCGGCGTACATGTGCTTGATTTGGTCCATGCCGGGGGCCGCTAGGAATATAATGTACGGCAGCAGCTCGCTGGAGTTGTGGAGGAACTTCAGACTCTGATGAAGTAGAATAAATTTTTTTATCTTCACTTTCAAATTGTAAGTAAAAATATTTGTAAAAATGGATATGTATGATGAAAGTCAATAATGTTTTTTAATTCTCGCTTTTTAAAATGGACGAATAAAAATTATTACTAATATGAATGAAATAATAATATGAAAAAATGGTAATGGAAGAATAATTGTAAAGGTATTGAATGCTACCTTTACTGTAAATTTCATACATTTTTATATTAAGACATTATGGAATTCAACCAACCGTAGAAATGAACTTTTTTAAGAAGATGGCACTGCTCCTACAATTCAAACCAAGTAAATAATCGGAAAAAGTCTTTTACTACTCTTTTTGGTGATTAAAACCATTTTGGGAATGAAAAGATCATTAACAAACATTAGAGACGTCGCACGGCTAGGCGGAAGGCTAGGCATGATGGTTAATAATTAAATTTAGGAACCATGCTCAATTACTCGAAACTTAGTATGGATATCCGCTTAAATAGGATACAAGTTACAGCTTGTGTATCCCATAAAGAGCCTCAAAATTTAGCAACGATTATCATAATTTCAGTTCACTTCCTCCTTGCCCTCAGACAATATAAGTATCACTTGTACCTGAGATAACGTTGACAACTCAAGGACGGAATTTGCAAAATAAATACCTAATAATGAATGGCTGTTGTAAACAAGTTCTAGAATCAAATTTACAAAACTTATTTCACGAGTTATTTAATGTGTTTTAGATAATGAAAATTCGCCTAGCATTAAAATAGAAGGAATTCAACACAAATGAAAAATATACAAACTAACTTTGGGAATACTGATCTAATTATGATTTTAGACTTATCAGTGAAAATAATCGACTGCGTAATTGAATATTCTCATCTGCATGAACTATCTAAAAGAACATATCGGATTTAGTAGTGAAATAATCGACTGCGTAACTAAGCATCATCTGTATAAACTATCTAAAGGAACATATCGGATTCTCCAGTGAAAAGAATCGACTGTGTAACTTAACATGAGCAGTATAAAGTATAAACTATCTAAAGGGATATTTCGGATTTTGCAGCGAAAATAATCGACTGTTCAACTAAACATTATCATAAGCCATTACATTTCACATTTCAGTAAATAATACCTATTACATTTATATTTCATAGGCTATTACATTTACATTTCAAGGGATAATGCACTCACATCAGCAGCGCAGTCGAGCACGCACATCTTGCCAGAGCGGATGACAGCCAAGACGCTGTCGATCTTGGTGCCGTACAAGTGACCGTTCAGCTCGCCGTACTCCAGGTAGCGGCCGTTCCTGATGTCGGCTTCCATGGCATCACGGCTGGTGAAGTGATAGGCTTTGCCATCCTCCTCCATTTCACGTATTGGTCGAGATGTGTCTAGAAAATGAATTTATTAATATAACAACATTGAATTCTTCTATCTTTCGTGTTACTACGAAATGATAAAAATATGTATCAGTGACATTCTCATTTGTTATTCTTATCGACCATTAGGATACATACATCGTTCTTGTAGAGAAAAAAATAAAATTTTGTTTTGTCATTACGTAAAATACACTGGGTTGAGCGAAGTATTAAGAGAGAATTAGTAAGATGTGAGTGAATTCGGAACGTGCAAAGCAATAAATTCGATCGGGCACAAGGTGAAAAATATTTATTGGGCAAGAAATGGAAGCCCGACGAAAATAAATTTATCAAGATCTATCTGCGGATTTACAGTTCGAAGTTAAAATCAAATTTTTTGTCTTCCATTCCTCAAAAATGTGACTCTGAATTAGTTATTGTACATTGACGAAATATCGCACTAATTCAAAGCCCTCACGTGGAAGAACAATTCCAAATTTGGACGGATCTGAGTTGACTATACGGTTTTTGATAGTTCTTCTGCCGACGCCATGACAGCCGACGAGCACCAAAGTCTTGCGCATGAAAGGTGGCATCCTTGCTACCTCTTCGTACATGATGAGTTCTGCCTTGTCGTACGAACTAGACGCCTTCGAGGAGAACATCAACTTCTTCTTGCGCTTTGAGATCTGTAAAAAGTTTGGAGTAACCTTAAAAAATGGATCATAGTGAACGGACAAATCACTTTTTCAAGGGTTAAGTTGAAATCGTTCGTATTTTGTCGTACGAACTAGACGCCTTCGATGAGAACATCAACTTCTTTTTGCGCTTTGAGATCTGTAAAAAGTTTAGAGTAACCTTAAAAAATAGATCACAACGATCGGATGGATCACTTTTTCAAAGGTTAAGATGAAATCTTTTATATTTTGTCACACGAAATGGAAACTTCCGATGGGAATAACAACTTCTTTTTGCACATCGAAATTTGCGAAAAATATTAAGTAACCTTTAAACAGTACAGCACAAAGATGGAAATATTTATTCAAAGGTCGGAATTCAACCTTTTACACTTAGATGTTCAAGATCTTTGAGAAACACTTTTTATCTAATGTACCTTGACATAATGAGAATTTGGAACATTGAGATATTTATGATCTATTTCATTATATTCATACAGCGCTTAAAACCTTCGGTCATCCATAAAAAATTGGTCAATAAAATACACAAGTGATTTCTCACAATTCGATGAACCCATGATTTTGTAATACCATAAACAGTCAACGTGATTTTTTGAACATGAGATATGTTGAAATATATTAGATATGTTGAAAAGCATTTTGAACAAAAAATATTAGATTAAAATAAAAAATCCTAACCTAAATAAATTACTTATATAGGTGTTTCGAGACTTTGAGAATGGGTGAAATCTTACAATTATTCTGAAAAATTTACTAATCATAAGTCTGCGCTCTAAGAGATGCGTAAGCCTAAAAAAACACTGCATCTAATTGAATTCAAGGAATATGTATGATATTAATTCACTAATCCCATCATTACTCATCCCTAACAATCCTGGATAAAATATTTGTAGTGGAAGTCATCACTTAAGAGAGGCAGGTCACGACTCTTCGCTATGGTATTACCGAAATTCAAATAAAAATTTACAAATGAGCATTTGCAGATAATTCCAAAATTTAAGTTATTTCAAAAGCATTCCTGCAATAAATTGTACCTGCTACCCAAACTTCACAGTTTTTTTACTGTATGTAGATCGTATAGTATCATTGCCCAACATAATGTTATGCCAAGCATTCTAAGCTTGTAGAGTTCATAACCCGTATACTTACTTTCATTCCAACCCTCGCACCCTAACGTTTGAATTATTTTCATCAATCTTACCTTAGTGCAGCAGAAACCAATCATTTAATATCAATCTTATCCACACGCCGCAGATTTATATTATTTGTCACCAATCTTACCCTGGCGCCATAGATGCCAATTATTAGCTGTCAGTCATACCCTGGCGCCATAGATGCCAATTATTAGCTGTCAGTCATACCCTGGCGCCATAGATGCCAATTATTTGCTGTCAGTCATACCCTGGCGCCATAGATGCCAATTATTTGCTGTCAGTCATACCCTGGCGCCACATATGCCAATTTTTTACTGTAAATATTATCATCGAGCCTTAGATGCTAATTATTTACTGCCAATCTTACCCTGGCGCCGCAGATGTCAATTATTTACAGTCAGGCTTACCCCCGCGCCAGATGCCAATTATTTACTGTCAATCTTACAAGGCGCTACAGATGCCAATTATTCACAGTTAATCTTACCCTAGCACCATAGATGCCAATTTTTCACTGTAAATATTATCATAGAGCCTTAGATGCCAATTATTTACAGTCAGGCTTACCCTGGCGCCATAGATGCCATTTATTTACTGTCAATCTTACCTTGGCGCCACAGATGCCAATTATTTACTGGCAATCTTACCCTGGCGCCATAGATGCCATTTATTTAACGTCAATCTTACCCTGGCGCTACAGATGCCATTTATTTACTGTAAATATTATCATAGCGCCGCAGATGCCAATTATTTACTGTAAATATTATCATAGCGCCGCAGATGCCAATTATTCACAGACAATCTTACCCTAGCGCCGCAGATGCCAATTTTATGTACAAAGTCATATTCGTGCGGCACGAAGGCCTTCCTGCGTTCTTCCAGCTCCTGTGAAGGGATGAGACCAACTTTTCGATCCTCGGACCCCACAACCTGCGCCTGCCACCAACTCAGGTCACTCTGGTCCACAACCTGCAGTAAATTTTTATTTTTATTCTAGTAATTACTTTTAACGATAATTTTTTTAATTAACATTTTTAACATTAATTTTTTATATTGGGAGGATATAATAGATCCCATGTAGCCTGCCACCAACTCATATCACTCTGATCCAGAAGCTGTATAAAATGTTAACTTTTAAAGTGTTAATTCCTGGCCTTTATCAAATTATTTTTTAATATTGAGAGGATAAAATATGTGCAGCCTGCTGCCAAGTCATGTCACTATGATCCACCACATGTTTAAACTGTTAACTTTTAAAGAATTAATTATCAAATTATTATTTAATATTGAGAGGATAAAATATGTGCAGCCTGCTGCCAAGTCATGTCACTCTGATCCACCACATGTTTAAACTGTTAACTTTTAAAGAATTAATTATCAAATTATTATTTAATATTGAGAGGATAAAATATGTGTAGCCTGCTACCAACTCATATGTCACTCTGGTCTACACTGTGTCCTAAATGTGGCAATTTAGTGATTTATATTTTAATTTCTTTGAACAGTTTAAGTACAGTATGGCCCCCAAACCCTGTAGCCAGAAGCACATAGTGTGTGAAATTCAATCCATCAAAATTTCAGATATCAGATCAGGTTATTACGACGACACGTTAGATTATGTAAAATAAATTCAATACGATTCTCTATATTTTCAGTAGTTAGCTGTGATAAATTGCGCTGTTGAACATCCTTCGATTTAGCTTAAATAAAATTGGCGTATCTCTAAACTTGGACAAATATCGTAACAGGCACTGGCATCAGAATTTTCGTCCGCTACGTGATAAACCATAACATATTTCATACAAGAATCCATTCATTGCGCATCTTCTTTACTTTGGAATTTGAGTTCCTACCAAATTCCTTAATAAAATAATAATACTTCCAGAAATATAATTATAATAATATTACTAATACAAATAATAATACTTAATACTTCCAGTCCCCTGGGATTCTTTAATAAAACTACCTGAAGGATATCTCCTTTCTCAAACTTGAGTCCTATGACCTCAGGACTCTGCGATGGGCAGCAAGGAAGGAGCTTGTCGTCTTTTGGGTCGTAGGAGAAATACGCTCGCAGGTAGCACTGTAGATGTGATATAAATCTACATTATATTTTGTCATATAAATCTATATATTATTTTATAATGTAGATTTATTTTATAATGTATTTGATAAATATAATTTATTGTGATATAAACAGAATTTTATTTTATTGTTTGCAAATACGCTCGCAGGTAGCACTGCGAATGTGATATAAATCTACATTATATTTTGTCATATAAATCTACATTGTATTCTCTAATTTGGATTTATTTTATAATGTAATCGATAAATATATTTTATTGCGATCTAAACTGATTTTTATTTTATTATTTACAATTACGCTCGCAGGTAGCACTGCGGATGTGATATAAATTTACATTATATTTTGTCATATAATTCTATGTATTATTTTATAATGTAGATTTATTTTATAATGTATTTGATAAATATAATTTATTGGGGTATGAACTGAATTTTATTTAAATTGTTTGCAAATACGCTCGCAGGTAGCACTGCGAATGTGATATAAATCAACATTATATTTTGTCATGTAAATCTACAATTTATTTAATAATGCAGATTTATTTGATAATGTATTTGATAAATATATTTTATTTTGATATAAACTGAATTTTATTTTATTATTTACAAATACGCTCGCAGGTAGCACTGCGAATGTGATATAAATCTACATTATATTTTGATAAGGAAATTTTAATAGAAATGATAATGGAACATTGCAGCATGATAAAGCTAAGAGCTTGTTTGTAGATCAACCTCACTCCAATTTTTCTAAATTTTATTGAAAATCCTCATGATTACAATTACTGGGACGACGTTATGTAAATAAAGCTGACTTTGAATAATTTGTTTCAATGTATAATACTACAAAAATATATATATATAAAATTAAACTTCATCATATAATAAGCACAATAGCACACTAAATTTATTAAATAGAATTAGAGAAACATGTTTTTTGAAAGGTCGGCTGTAATTATCTATTTAGAAAAAAAAATATTTGTAAAATTTAAACAAGACTAAATAGGTATAAACCAAAAATTAATTCACAGATACATATTTGTAAATGAAAAAATATAATTATATAATATATATTATAATAAATATATTTATAATTATATAATAATATATAATTATAAATATAATTCAATATATATTTAGAAATAATATTAAGAAAACATTTTACGAGTAAATCAACGATAAGACGTTACGAAAACCGATAGAAGTTGGTAAGGGTTAGAGAGTATGAATGCGTTGTAAGAACCGAAAGACGAGATCGTTATGTCAAAAAAGTAAGGCGAGAATAATATATTTCGTAAATACAGCCTCGAGCGAAGGAATTTTAGAAAAAAGTGAAATCTTTAATTAAATTGGGGTTATATAAGCATAGTTACAAAGAAAAAGATAAAATTATACTATAGTTCCAAAATGTAGGTACAAACCTTGGCGAAGGGCAGAAATCATTGCAACCTCTACGAACAGGATGCACTCAAACTTCCATTGTTATGTTCCAACTGACTAAATTCAACTATTTTATGGTAGAAAAATGAAACTGCGGCTTTCACCTTCAACATTCACAGGAAATTATAAAAATTTAATAGACTCAACCAACGAATATTTGACTTTCAAGGTTTAATTTTGAAAGTTCTTACCCAAATTGCGCATACTCAATTGTTTAGGCTGAAAATGTGTCGCAAAAATGCAGAAAGGAAAGGGCTTGCGAAAAAGCCTGGTTTCATCGGGTAGATATTGACTGTGATAGGTAAAGTTACTCATAACTCGACGGTATTTGCTTCACTTTAACGTAGTGTATTTTGGCGGACACTCGAAAATCCAGTTAAAATTTTAGAGGAGAAAATTTTGATCAGAAATCATTTTTCGCCGTAGAGAAAATTTCAGCATAGTTGGGATGAGAATATTTACAATGAAGTGCATGTTAGTGGAGTTCTTGTATGAATTTTTTAAATTCAAAAATCAGTTAGTTAGTGGAGTGTAAATGTTGAAAAGAACCCGTGATATATTTCCAAGAAAAGGATAGAAGAACCAAATGCCCAAAGCTTGTATTTTACGCGTATCAAAAAAGAACTCAATACTCACAATGTTTCTGGCAGTTTCAGCGATGTTTGATGACTTCTGGTTTACCTGATTGGTGGCATTAACGTCTTTTGGGGCGGGAAGAACTTTTAAATTGACAGTCTCTCCACATTTGCTGATTTCTTTGTTTAAATCTTCCAAAGAGAGGATCTGCACAATATAGATAAGTTCATGCTCAGAACATAAGCAAGCCATTACGTATGAATATTCATCTGGTTTCATTCACGAGTACCAGATGGATATTCATCCGGTACTCAAAAAATACTCAGAACTCAACAAAACATATAAATATTCGCTGCTGAAAAAAAATATTATATTGCTCTATACTCAAAAAAAGAGACGTTGCAGAAGAGTTCTTAAGCTCCGTTTATATAAAAAATCATCAGAGAAGAGTGGAGACTTTTTCAGGTAAATAAATATAAGACGATTTATCGACCAATAAAATTTAATTAATATTATATAACATTTCATTTATTACTGAATAACTTCGAACTTTATTGCAAATTCCAGTAATTAAATGATATTCAGTGGCAAGAAGATACTTGCATACACAAATTTATTAGCTAAAAAAATGATATTTATTTTTATGAATAAATGCATGTGATAATTTTCATATTCCTTGAAAATTTTGAATTTACTTCAGCTCCGTTGACTTCGAGAATAGCATCCCCGACTTTTAAAAGTCCTTGTTTTTCAATGGGGCCTCCTGCGAGTATCCTGGCGATGACCACGTATCCTGACTCGTCCTCCTTCACCGTCAGGCCGAGGGGTTGGTCCTTCGGCACTCTACGTATCCCGACCATCCTGATGGTGTCCACGAGGTGGCCATTCTCCTCAGGCATGAAGACTTCGTTTATGTGGCCGACTTGACTGCGGAAATCAGGATGGACGGATTAATGAATAGTTTTTATTTGACGTGGCCAGTTTGACTGCGGAAATCAGGATGGCCGGATTAATGAATAGTTTTTTATTTGACTTATCTGACTTGACTGTGGGAACCAGGATGGACGGATTAACGAAAAGTTTTTATTTGACGTGACCAGTTTGACTGCGGAAATCAGGATGGTCTGATCAATGAATAATTTTTATTTTATGTGACCGGTTTGACTGCGATAAACAGAATGGGCGGATTAATGAAAAGTTTTTATTTGACGTGACCAGTTTGACTGCGGAAATCAGGATGGCCGCGTTAATGAATTGTTTTTTATTTGACGTATCTCACTTGACTGTGGGAATCAGTATGGCCTGATTAATGAATAGTTTTTTATTTGACTTATCTGACTTGATTGGGAATTTGCAGGATTACTAAAATAATAAACCATAATATTGACCATCTTCCAGTTATATTCTAAAAAAATCTCTTAATTAGTTTACATATAATAAGAAAGTTTGAGTATTTTTTATTTATGATTTTTTTAATACCAATTAACCGGAAATTATTTTTAGGAACATGTCATTATTTTGTGGTACGAAAATTTGCATTTGTAATATTTTTAATAATAACTGGTTCCTTTGGCTAATCAGATTTTGAAGCGTAGTACCCACGAAATAGTATTTTCACTAAATTTCAATATCCTCTTTCAAGGCAGCATCTAGATTATTGCGAGGTAAAATGAAAAATGTTAAACGCATCATTAAAATAAAAAAAGTTATCCGCAATAATAAATTGGGTTTAAATGAAACTCTCAGCCTAAATGCATTCAGCATTTAAATTTCGTCAAACAACCAGAATATTGTTATTATAATCTAGTAACTTTAATTGGAACAACTTGAAGTTAACATTGCGCGGGACTTGAGTGGAAAAAGTATCTGGTAACATCCAAATTTATAAATTAAATATTATTATTCAATAAAATAACTAATTTGATGTCATACTAAATATTGCTTTAAATAACAAAAATGATCTATTTTTAATATAGACATAGAATTTATTTATGTCGAATCTTCATTCCAGAACAAAAATCCTTAATACTGCAGAAAGTAATTTATCATCAAAGAATAAAATTTTCAATGAATAGAAATATCAAGAAAATTTCTCACATATCAAGATAATGTCTCAAGTATAAAGAAAGTTTTACCTTGCAATAAAATTACTCGACCATCAAAAAATTGCTTACCCAATAAAGGAAGAGAGGGAACCTCACACATCAAGAGAGGGAAATTTAATTTTTTAATGAAATTACTCACCTATCAAGTAATTTATTAACCTCTCAATGAGATGACCCATATCTAGCAAATGACTCATCTACCAAGACTCACATATCAAGGGAATTACTCATTTTCCAGAGCAATCACTCACCTAGAATTAGATGGCCGCTCGTGCACAGCTTTGTTGCTCTTGAAAGGAAGGAAAGGCTGGGGCAGACGATCAGCTGCTATGCTGTCGTGCGCGTCTAACAGAGCCTGCACGTTTGTGATCGTTGCGGAGAACCAAATTACAATAATAATTAAGAATATAAACTTAAAACTACATTATAATTTTAACAATTCGAGTCTTGTACATAAAATTGTAGTCTAGGATGTCTGGAAATTTAGTTAGCTTGTTCTATTTACTAGGCTGGGAACGGATGATGAAATAGGATACGCTGAGTTAGCATTATTATGGTCACGAGTGCGGGACATCGATGTCGCGCATATATTGGGAAAAATTGTTAATAGGACAATAAAATTTCTTACAACTGGATTATTTAAAACAGAAGCAAACGGGGAGGATGCTAAATTATGGCGTTATTCATGCAGCTTACTTCACAAAATCAGTGATGGTCTCACATGAAAATATTTTATGTTAAATTGAGATAATTGTGCTCATTTCGTCGTGAAGCAATTTAATTGGGGTATAATAACAGTAGAAAAATATGAACTACGTAGAATCATGAAATGAATTATTTTATTTACAGTCATGCCTATATTATTCATTCAATAGTATAAGAGCGCGGTTTCCTTCTATTTGCATATGTCATAAAACCTGGGTACCAATGTCTCATAATTAATGCTTCACAACTATAAAAAATATATTCAGTATGTACGAAATATCCAATATACACAAAGATAAAGACATGCAGAAGACCAGACTCGCTCACCATCCTTGTTCTCAACAGAAATTCTTTAATTTATTTAAATTTTCGTTTTTCTGCACAACTTAATTTGCTTAATTAACGAAAACTGGCAGTCCGTTTGGAAATTATTGACGATAATATGACAGATGCCCGGAATAAGGTACAGGAAACAGGGGGCAACACCGAAAAGGTTTGTTAGGGAATGGAATCAATGGAAAATAGAACATGCTGGGATACTCAATGAATTTTTTTTTTCATTGAGTTATATTCATTCAGTTCAGTTATAATACGAAATTAGGCTAGAAACGGAGGTAAATAGTTATATTCCTGAAGAGATTGTGAGTGAATTTTTCCAATATGGTAGAAAACAATGTGGTAAAAAATCGAAGGAAATATGCATATGAAGTTTGGCAAATTATCGTAGGAACTAAGATCAGGAATTGAAGCTAAAAAAGGTAGAAGAAGTTATGGGTGATTTTTCATCACATTAGCGAGTAAAAGCTTTTTAGTTATGATATTTTGATTCGAAAGAATTCATCAACATAATTATACTTAGAATGCTATGCGCACCTGAAATGTATAGAAAATGTTCCGACACAAAATGGAACTTTAAATTTAATTAATTTACTTATATTAATTCAGTGATTGCCTTAATGAAGGGAATAACTGGCCAAGTAAAACGATGAAATTGATTCACTTAATACACCGACTAGTGACTTTTCCTGCGGAAGGATCCCAGGAAGCAAGGAAGGATGCCAGGCTAAGGCATTAGCATGCCTTGCAGCCTTCAGGGAAACTCAAACATATATTAGAAAACTCGGTGATATTTGAAGTGCCAAATCCCCGAAAAAAGACTTTAGAAAAATGTGGATTAATCAAGGATTTACAATAAAAAAAACAAGGAGTGAAAGACTGAAATCAAATGAATATATAAAAATCCACTAAGAATAATGTTGTAACGAATAGTTTAACAATTAATAAACATGGTCGGTATAAGGTTGTTGGAATTGATTTTCAAGATAATCAGTTTCAAAATTTCGATGAGGAGTAGAGAAAAAAAGTACTAAAATATTAATTAGCCGATTTATCGGCCGTGGCTGTGAAGTTAACGCTAGTTAACCTCACATAAGGCGAGAACAAGGATGTGGAGAGGGTAGCTACAGGTCCGGTTGCGAACTTGGTAGCTGCCATACCACGACGTGTGGTCGTAGGAGCAGGTCGCCCAAAGCTTGGGCGGCTGGAGTGGTTGATAGTTCACTATAATGTATGACGTCACGACGTAATATAGCCCCACTAGGCGTCACTGGCACCAACTCTTTTATCTCAGTCTTCGCGAAGCTTTGGTAGCCCTGGAAAAAATGTTGCCATGTCAAAGAACCGAAGAGATATTTTTCTTCTGTCAAGGAATCGATGGTGGACCGGAGAAAATGTAAAAAATTGGGTAGCGATCACAAGGAAAATAGATCGGTATTTCCATTGGATAGCAATAGAAAAAAAAAATATGCAATGTTATAGGCTGGAAGAGATATTTTTCAGTTTAGGAATCGGCAATGGACCAAATCAATTGAAAAATTCGGGCGGAGAAATAGGGTGCATGAGATAAAAATACCCCTCCTTTGATTTAATAGCCCTTGAAAAAATGATGCGATGTCAGAGTATGGAAATATATTTTTTTCAGTAAAGATATCGATATGGACCAAAAGAAATGAAGAAAATCGTGAGTAGGAATAGCGTGCGTGAGAAAACAATACCGTGATTTTTAGTTCAAGTTGTTTCCGTAAAGGAAATGATGGCAGACGAGAAGCGAAATGAACATGACATAAAATTCGAGGAACTAAAATTGTTGTTTCGCAGACTGCATTGTTTTTATGTACCCTATTGTTCAGGAGTGAAGCGTCCACTAAAAAATAAAAAAATGCAAAATTGATTACTTTTTAAACTTTTGAAAGGGATTACGTATGTAAAGAAATCTAAAAGACTGAGCCTAAAGTATCTTTCTTTAACGACTTAATGGATGGAAATTGTAAATTAAAATAACAACATTTTCCTTATTAGTCACTTTAGCAATGTAACTGCATTTGGAAGATATACTATTCACTTTGCTTCCTTTTGCTCAAGTATTCTGTGATGATACGATTTAAGAATATAAATTACAAAACTCATTCACGATTTTTTTCAATAACTTTTGTAGTTTGCAACGAAATGAAACTTTTGAAAAGTTTTTCGTAAACAACACATACATGTGCAAGAGCAGACATTCTCAAATGAATGAATTATATATATCAGAGGTCATAGTTTACTAACAGGAACAGCAATAATTATATATAACTATTAATTTCAAACAGTCTTCAGGAAAATCGTCGGCATATAAATAGACAAAATATTTCTAAGTACATCCCTAAATTCAATTCACATACATGCATTCATTTGAGAACCATCAATATTAATGAATGACAATGTAAATTGCTTTTACAATGAATGACAATGTAATGAATGATGAATAATTTAATGAATGACAATGTAAATTGCAATGTAAACGCATCTTAGCTTTTATTCTAATACTGTATAAAATACCAATGAGGATAAATAAATATATCTACAATATGACGGGAGATATTATTCACAATGGAAGAATTGTGTACGAATTTACCAATACGGAAGCATTATTGATAATATTAGAGTTACGCTGCAGAGAAAGACTACAAAGCAGTGACCATTGGCGCACTAGCGCTGTAGCATCACCATAATGTACTCTCAGTAAGAGTTATGTAACAACAAATATACAGTCTCAGAAATTTCAATGGAACAGATAATTATGCGTGGAAAACTCATTCAATAATACCAACTTATTTAGCGGTGCAATTTAACTTTCAGATCACGTTCCCTAAAACATTTGCCACTTCAGCACTTGTAACTCTTGCATAAATTTGGAGTGACGCATCTCAGCTTTAATTTCATTATCATCTTCTGAATATGTGCAAATCAGAAGCAAGGGAATTTTTTAAATTCAACAAATTGAAGCCAGTCCACTTGCAATAATTCAATCAGTGGAATAGAAATATCAGCAAGAAAGGTAAATAACTAAAAAAACAATAATTGCATGCATTGGCAAACAAATTAGAAACTAGCTACATCGTTCAAGTTTGACAAAACGGAACAAGAAACGTGACATCAGACGTAAAAGAAGAAGCGAGCCACGGTTCAGTAGAAGCAGTGCGCGGAGAAAGTTGTAGCCAGTGGATATTTGTACGCTGGTGAAACATGCAAATATTGAACGAAAAAATGCGATTTGACATTCTTTCGACTGCAATTTAATCTTTTACAAAACAGTTTATTCACCAAAGTCTGGTACTGAATTACCTTCTGTACTCAAAAGATTAAGATTGCTTATTCAATTATAATTTTTTGCCGATGGGTCCTATTTTATTCTTCTTAGTGTTAAAAATTTAAATTCGGGCTTATTTTAACAAATTTAAATGACAAAATCAAATGTTTCGGATAATTTTTTTGCATACTATGCTTCATGCAAACAGAAAAAAATTAAAAAAATGGATAGACCTCAAAATTCTCCCCGAAAAGTCACCTGTCTGTGAATAGTAACGTTCTTCACGTGCGCTTCCAGTTGAACGTCCGTTAAATCACGCAATTTTTCACGCGATTCTGAATGACGAAACATTGTAAACTAATTGTATTTGAAGAATTGGGTAAACTATTGCGAATTGATATTGTAATAAAACTGGATAAGATTTTATTTAAGTTTCACGATAATGAACTTAATCCATTTTAATTGATCAAGGAATCCTAATATGAGACATTCTTTGTCGATTTTCTCAACGTTTTTATTAAAATTGCGTTGTTCTTTCATTCGTTTCTCTTCATTAAAATTATTAACTTTAATTTCCATGTATCGAAGTTCCTTAGAAACATAGCCAAACAGTTAGATTAACAGTAACATTATTACATTACGAGTCTAACATTTGAAGAAACTTGCTACTGTAGAATAGAAGGGACAGCAAACTGTTTGTTATTACTTCTCTAAAATATTCAGAACACGAAGCCTGGACATAAGGTTCAAGGTATCAACGATCTTACAGCACGCAAGCTCTCTCCTTCATTGTAATCCGTGTCACAGTACATGGAATTTACAACACAAGTACGACTATAATTCCACAAAATGGCTCGCATCTCTGTCTGACTGCGAAAGAAAAATTTCTTATCATTACTAAAGGATTGTGTTACCGTTTGTATAGGAATTGATGTATTATAAATGCCTGTTTATATTGTTTTCGCTCGCCTTTCTTTTAGCTATGTAACTTACGATTGGTTCTCGGCATTGTAAACAAAACTTCCTACAGTTTATACATGAGATAAAATAACTTTGAACTATGCAACTGAACAATGTTGAAGTTGTATGAACATTTTGAATCTTGAAAATTTATTCAAGGACTTTAGATAGGTACACAGTAAGTAATGAAGAGCAATAAGGCCTATGAAAGTCTTACAGTTGTTTTCATGGAGAACACATATGTGTTGTTAGTAGGTTGCCATGCCAACGATTAAGACCCGCGCTCTCAATGCCCGACAGAAAAATTCAAATGGCCACACATTGATAATGGAAAAATTCTTAGATGTAAGCTAAAATTAGGCAATGTTATTTGTCATAATAATAAAATGATACAAAAATTTTTGCTCCTATAAAGGGAAATACCCATGCGCAGTGCATTGAAAATTACAGGTTTCGGCAGGAATGCCCTTGAAAAGAAAGAAAGTAATATAATGTGTAACAAAAAGCTGTAGAATTTCACGATATGTAACAAATAATGATGTTCAAAATTAGTTATCGATGGCGTTCCATGTGCCTTGTAATAATAATTAATATAATATGTTACAACATAGGACTCTCGTTTAGAGCAACAGTCGTGTTTCACGTTTTCAATGAAAAATTCACCATTCACTTCCATTTGAATACAGATGAAAAATCATTTCCTGCGAGAGCAAAATCTTTGATTTCATTCGATTTGATTTTTAATTCTGAATTCTAGGTCTCTACACATGAAACCCAAGTTTTTCATTCATACTTCTACCGAACATACAACCTTGTATGATTCCATTCAGCCAGATATGATCACACTGCAGTGACTCATGGCAATAGCACAGCACCAGCAGCACAACACACACAGCAGTGACTCATGGACAGCAACAACACAGTACCAGCAGCACAACAGCCACTGCAGTGACTCATGGCCAGCAATAGCTCATTACGTCATCCTTATGTACAAATCACGGCCTATTCTACGTTGGCCGGTAACCGGGGATTGTTCAACCGCTGATGCAATATTAATAAAATTAGATCAGTACTCACTGCAGTGAGTGACAGAGAGAGCATTTTCTCAGAGAGCGCGAAAACGTGTAGTCACGGACGGACGGACGGACGGACGGACATGACGAGCACAATAGCGCCTTTTTTTCCATAAATGCAAAAATATAACTCAGTACTCACTGCAGTGAGTGACAGAGAGCGCATTTTCTCTGAGAGCGCAAAAACGTGAAGTCACGGACGGACAGACAGACAGACAGACGGACAGACAGACGGACGGACATGACGGGCACAATGGCGCCTTTTTCCATAATTGAGAAAATACGCTAAAAATATCAAAAATTAAAGTATCAGTACTGATGTTTTGTGCCTATTGTATTACCTTGCTAAGCCTATAGCCAGCGATGCCACGCAGAAAATTTGTATGTACAAATGGAAGCAAAGCTTGGAAATTATTCTTCGAGTCTTCAAAATAAATTCTACAAGAAAATCAAATAAATACATTAGCACTTTAAAAAAGTATAATCAACAATATCTCATTTTGCAATCGTTATATGAAATAAAATATATTTGAAACGTGGAATAGTAGCCAGTTATTTGCTCTGAAATTTTTCTTTTTTTTTAATAAAACAAGTTTATGCAGGTTCGTATAGAATCACTTCCAAGTTCTTATGACTTGGAAACTCAATAAACAAATTTTCGAGTTGTATGAATCTCAAAGCGGTAGTAATCAAAAGAATTTACTTTAGGTAATTTGTTGTCAAGTATAACTACTGTTTGACGAAAGATCAAGAAATTTGTTCTCACCTATATAATAGTTAGCAAAAAAATTCTGCTTGGCCACAAATAGGATTGCGGCTAATTTTTCGTTTCGCGACACCGATAAAAATAGCAAAAAAATTTTAAAAGTCGAGTCGATTCTTGCAGAAAATATTAATAAATAAAGTAGCATGTCGAGCCAAATAACAAAATAATAAATAAATAACAAATAAATAACAAATAATAAAATAACAAATAATAATAAATAAATAA